TTTGATTGCTTTGCTTGATTTTGCTTGCTTTGCTTGCTCTTGCTTGCTCTTGCTTGCTCTTGCTTGCCCTTGCTTTTGCTTGCTTGCCCTTGCTTGCTCTTGCTTGCTTCTGCTTGCTTCTTTGCTTGCTTCTGCTTGCTTTTCTGCTTGCTTTTCTGCTTGCTTTTCCTTGCTGTTGCTTGCTTTTGCTTGCTTTTGCTTGCTTGCTGTTGCGTGCTTGCTTTTGCTTGCTTGCTTTTGCTTGCTTGCTTGCTCTTGCTTGCTCTTGCTTGCCCTTGCTTTTGCTTGCTTGCCCTTGCTTGCTTGCTTTGCTTGCTTGCTTTTGCTTGCTAGCTTTTGCTTGCTTTTGCTTGCTTTGGCTTGCTTGCTCTTGCTTGCTTTTGCTTGCTCTTGCTTGCTTTTGCTTGGCTTGCTTGCTTTTGCTTGCTTTTGTTTGCTTTTGCTTGCCTTTGCTTGCTTGCTTGCTTGCTAAACTCGCTTGTTTGCTTGCTCGCTTGCTTGCTTGCTTGCTTGCTCGCTTGCTTGCTTGCTTCTGCTGGCTTGCTTTTCTGCTTGCTCTTGCTTGCTCTTGCTTGCTTGCTTGCTTGCTTGCTTGCTTGCTTGCTTGCTTGCTTGCTTGCTTGCTTGCTTGCTTGCTTGCTTGCTTGCTGCTTGCTTGCTTGCTTGCTTGCTTGCTTGCTTGCTTGCTTGCTTGCTTGCTTGCTTGCTTGCTTGCTTGCTTGATTGCTTGCTTGCTTGTTTGCTTGTTTGCTTGTTTGCTTGTTTGTTTGCTTTAGGTTGCTTTTGGTTGCTTTTGCTAGCTTTTGCTTAGCTTTTGCTTGCTTTAGCTTGCTTTTGCTTGCTTTTGCTTGCTTTTGCTTGCTTTTGCTTGCTTTTGCCTGCTTTTGCTTGCCTTTTGCTTGCCTTTTGCTGCTTGTGCTTGTTTTGCATGCTTTTGCTTGCTTTGCTTGCTTTTGTTGCTTTTGCTTGCTTTTGCTTGTTATGCTTGCTTTTGCTTGCTTTTGCTTGCTTTTGCTTGCTTTAGCTTGCTTTTGCTTGCTTTTGCTTGCTTTTGCTTGCTTTTTGCTGTTTTGCTTGCTGCTTTTGCTTGCTTTTGCTTGCTTTGCTTGCTTGCTTGTTGTTGCTTGCTTTTGCTTGCTTTTGCTTGCTTGCTTTGCTTGCTTTTGCTTTTTGCTTGCTTTTGCTTGCTTGCTTGCCTTGCCTTGCTTGCTTGCTTTTTTGCTTGCTTTTGCTTGCTTGCTTGCTTGCTTTTGCTTGCTTTTGCTTGCTTGCTTGCTTGCTTTTTGCTTGCTTTTGCTTGCTTTTGCTTGCTTTTGCTTGCTTGCTTGTTTTTGCTTGCTTTTGCTTGCTTTTGCTTGCTTTTGCTTGCTTTTGCTTGCTTTTGCTTGCTTTTGCTTGCTTTTGCTTGCTCTTGCTTGCTTCTTGCTTGCTTCTTGCGCTTGCGCTTGCTTGCTTGCTTGCTTGCTTGCTTGCTTGCTTGCTTGCTTGCTTGCTTGCTTGCTTGCTTGCTTGCTTGCTTGCTTGCTTGCTTGCTTGCTTGCTTGCTTGCTTGCTTGCTTGCTTGCTTGCTTGCTTGCTTGCTTGCTTGCTTGCTTGCTTGCTTGCTTGCTTGCTTGCTTGCTTGCTTGCTTGCTTGCTTGCTTGCTTGCTTGCTTGCTTGCTTGCTTGCTTGCTTGCTTGCTTGCTTGCTTGCTTGCTTGCTTGCTTGCTTGCTTTGCTTGCTTGCTTGCTTTCTTGCTTTTGTTTGTTTGCTTGCTTGCATGCTTGCTTGCTTTTGTTTGTTTGTTTGCTTGCTTGCTTGCTTGCTTGCTTGCTTGCTTGCTTGCTTGCTTGCTTGCTTGCTTGCTTGCTTGCTTGCTTGCTTGCTTGCTTGCTTGCTTGCTTGCTTGCTTGCTTGCTTGCTTGCCTTTGCTTGCCTTTGCTTGCCTTTGCTTGCCTTTGCTTGCTTTTGCTTGCTTTTGCTTGCTTTTGCTTGCTTTTGCTTGCTTTTGCTTGCTTTTGCTTGCTTTTGCTTGCTTGCTTGCTTGCTTGCTTGCTTGCTTGCTCGCTCGCTCGCTCGCTCGCTTGCTTGCTTGCTGGCTGGCTGGCTGGCTGGCTGGCTGGCTGGCTGGCTGGCTGGCTGCCTGGCTGGCTGGCTGGCTGGCTGGCTTGCTTGCTTGCTTGCTTGCTTGCTTGCTTCTGTGTTTGTTTGCGTATCCGTGCCAGCCTGTCTTTGTGTGACCTGTTGTGTGTGTGTGTGTGCTGGTGTTTGTATGTGTGTGTCTGTCTCTATCTCTGTCTCTGTCTCTGTCTGTCTGTCGCTCCGTTGGTTTCTCTGTCTGTCGGTCCGTCCGTCCGTTCTGTCGGACTGGGACTGTCTGTGAACCCTGCAAAAATCGCTCAATTCGTTCTGTGGAAACCTTCCTGGTGTGACTTGCAGCGTGAGATCCAGCTTGCTTCAAGTGGCCACCGAGTGTCGTCCCAATGCCTCGCCCGGCCATCCGTCTGGCCTGGATCATTTCGGGCGCCAAGTAATCCATGGTCCCGCAGAAGGTGGTGCGGGGCACAGTGGTAGCAGCGCACCTCACGCTGAAGCTGAAGCTCGCTCAGAATGGCAGGCAATCAAACCTGGTATCAGGGAGGGCTACCCAGGCAGCCTCACCAATTCCCTGTTATTTTGCCGCCACCTTTGAACCTTCATCTACTGAGGTTTGATTGTGGCTCAAATGGCTTTGGAGAGCATTAACCCTACCTGAAAACCCTCACCGGGCTCAGCACCAGCCGAAGTCTCCAATCTTCAGCACATCGTCGTGAGTGATCAGGAGGTTCTGGAGCAAACAAAAGTGTGCGTCGGTTGCAAGGCCTCTTTGAATGCAGAAAGTCCCTCATTCCATGGTCAACGTGCCCTGGACTTGATTCATTCCCTGACCAACACACAGTCACACGAGCCACGGTCAAAAGTCATACCCGCCCTGAAAAGAAATCCTCACCATAGTGGCCATGATCCCTACTCAGGGTTGATGATCGTCCAAGCTTTACACCCCAAGCAATCAGTGTTTCGACCGTGAGAAACAAAACATAACCTCCAACTATCTTCGGCCCCGCCTCCGGCTTCAGGTCCCGGTGCACAATGTGATAGGAGTGAAGGTACTTCAGCCCCCGCACGAGCTGAAGCGGCCGCGATCATGATGACACAAGCCCAGAGAATCAATTCGGAAGGCTTTGAACATGATTCTAGTCTATCCTTCCAACCTGTTAGCTCTATCTAACACAGTTGCAACCAACACCAGCAGGTCAAGCAGGCGATGCCTGTACGAAGAAGTGCTTCGACATCTGCTCGTTGAACTTGCGGCCCTTTTGCGTCCTCCCCATTGCATACCCTCTGGAACAAGATTGCCTACATGCCGCTGCTAAGGCAAGCTGGGACGGACAAATGCAAGAACACGAGGCAGTCCTGAGAAGCTGGTACAGTTCCCCCTTGGCACAGTACTCCAGAAGCAAATACACTGTATCCTCGTCCTGGCGAGAGCCAGGGTCAAAGATGTGCTGCGATTCTCCCGAAAATTCTGAGCTCAAGCGAACGCTGCGACTTCATCCGGCAGAATGACCAAATACGACTGCATTCTCATCCCTGCAAAATCCTGCAGCAGTCTTGAAACAGCTCGCCGCACCTCGAAGTGTTTGTAAAGGCGAAGCACGTTCTCATGCTTCAGGTTCCTCTGCACCTGGATCTCCCGCTCGACCTGTCGAACAGCGTCATTCGGGCAGAGGCTCGCCATCAGGCAAGGGGTGCGAAAAGAGGAGACCACAAGTAATTGGGTAAATCACGCTGGAGGGCGATGCCAGTCACAAGGACGACTCGTCATGATGTCCTGCTGCGTCCTGCTTACACGCCAATCTGATTCTATCGCCTTTGCTTCGCTTCTCTTCGTCTCTCTTCGCCTCACTTTTGCTCTCTTCTTCTTTCTTTCTTTCTTCTCTCTCTCTCTCTCTCTCTCTCACTCTCTCTCTCTCTCTCTCTCTCTGTTCTCGCGAACTGTGATTGGGCATATTTGCCCAGTTGCTCTTGGGTGCCTACCGTGTATGCTCCAATGATTGGAGCCTCCAAAGAATTCATCACAACTCCGCCGCTGTCCAGGGTATGCAAGTAAAGTCAGCTTCAATTGCTTCCCCAATCCTCATGACAGCAAATGAGCACAGCACCAAGCCCTGGCTGCTTCGCACACTCTTGCTTTCCAGAAACAAGAGAAGGAGCCAGAGTCAAGCGCAGTGCCCCACGTGTTTGGGCCACTCCGCTTGGTGTCCCAACCTGCTCCACAAGCTGCCCGCTCACCACCTGTGAGCCGTTTCGGTGACGGTAAATAGAAAGGGGGTCGGTCCCCCGTTTCACCCCAATTCATGAGCCGGATTGATCAAACAGGGGCGTGCAGTTAAAGAAAGCACCTTGACCCGTTGATTCCAGCTGGCTCAAAATTGCGAAGCAACATGCAGCCACCAAAGTACTGGCTAACATGTACAAAGAGCGGGAAACTGCATGAATAACGATAAAACAACGAGTGAGAGAAGTAAAGGCAGAGAAAACAAACTCAGATCAGAAAAAGCTCCAGCCTCCATCTTCTGCATCGTCTTCAGCGCATAAACGTCATCCGTCCCCTTGCGCAGAGAATGGGTGAGAATCCCCTTCCAGACTGGTGAGTCACCCAGAAACCTTCCCCAATGGTCACATCTTTTTCTTCGCAACCCCGGGAAGAACTTCAAACTGTAGTTTTAAATGACCCAGCAGCCTCTCCCAACAGAGAGCCCAAACCACAACCAGCTTTGGCCTTGCGCCGGATACGCCGCACCACGCCGAAGGATCCTTTGCCCAAGGAGCGGCCTCACCACTGCGTCCAGCGGACATGAGCAATCCACTTGACGCAATGCACTGTCGCGAGAGGAAGGAAGCAATGGGAAGTCCGGACAAGTTGCTGGGGATTGATGGGGAGCGTTTTCCAGTGGCGAATGGACACATCGAGTAATGCTTTGGGCTTCACGCCACCAGCACCATCCAGGATCTCAAAGTCAGAGAGCTTCACCTGAGCCCAAGCGAATGGAGAAAGTAGCCCCCAAAACAGAACCGGCCTAGATCTGAAATGGGAGAAGCAACGACCCATACATAAAAATGCGGTTTTTAGACATGGCCCAACCAGACCCCAAATCAATAACCGCGCATCAAAGCGGCCAAACCAACCACTGGAAACCGCAAGGTCAACCATTGGCTGCCTGCCATTTCAGCATAACAAACATTGGATGAACCAACGGGCACAAACATCTTTTGTTTGGGCGACCAGTCAGGTCACAGTTCAGCGGGAAGCCAGGTGCCAGCAAAAGCCAGAGCGGCATCCATACTTTTCCCCGAGATCGCAAATTCTGCATGAAGGCACGCTTCGAATTCCAGTGATGCAATAAACGCCCATGGCTGCTTTTTTACTGGCATTTGAGCCACTACCACATCTGCGGGACCGAAACAACACTTTTCGCGCTTGACTTCCACTGCCCGAGTTTCATGCTTCTTTAACTTCACATCGGAAGCAGCCAGCCCGGGGCCGCTTTAGCGGCTAAACCTCCCTCAGCATCCTCGAAATGAAGTCCGGCAGCTGCTCCACGGCGTCCAACTCGTACTTCAAGTTGTCCTTGATGAGCCGGTCCAGCCCGGCCCGATAGATGCTCAGGATCTCCTCGTGTGAGCTGAAAAGGACCCAAGGGCTCGAGGACCAAAGGGCTGAAGGGCGCCTTCAAAGGGAATTCCGGGATTCTGCCACAGGGATGCTTGGAACCAAATGACATTCTAATTCAAATGGAATGCCTCTGCATCACGTACAAGTTGAAACTAGCAACCACACGGCCGACACAGGACCTCCAAATGGCGTCCATTCAATAAAGCAAGTTCTGTTGTCATGAACGCAATTCTTTGACCGTTCCTGAGCCACATCGCCACCTCACCATTGCCAAAAAGAAATAACCAAAGGAAGCTCAAAGGCCCATTCGCCCCTCATTTGACAAAGGAAATCCGCCAAAAAGACACCAAACATGAAAAACCCCATGGTCCAGCCTATCGTCAAACTGGTCGACGCTTCGTCTCCTCCTTCCCTTGGAGCCACCCCAGGCGCCGCTGCAAGCCCCGCGCCAGCGCCACGTCCCGCCGCGTCAGCGGCAGCCGCTCCGCAGCGGCCACCTCCGAGCCGCCGAGCAGCGGCACGGCCGCCGGCAGCGTCAGGTCCTCCTGGGAGAAAGCGGGAAGCGACACATGGCTGGGGGTCAAGAACAGGTACCCAAAGTGGAACCATGGTAAATGGAAACAACAACTAAAACCTGCGGTCCCCTGGTCGTTTAATTTTGACCCATACCCACATGAGTCACATGAGTCACATGCTCCTACGGCCCATTAAACACAAAACTCCTACGGCCCATTGCCAACCCAGATCCAAGATTGTAGCTGAGCTGTTGGAGAAAAACGCATCCTCCATGATGTCCGGTGCAAACATCACAAAACAAAGAGGAACACTTGCGAGAGGGACAAGCCGGACAAGCAAAAAGAATCTGAGTGGAAGGGCAACCTTGGAGCTGCCGTGTGCTTGCTCGCGCTGATCCCTTGGTTTCTCCTGCATCCAGGCCACCTCCGGGCCGAAGGAGTAGGTGGCGGCGATCTGCAGACCCGAGGGGTCAAAGTCCACCAGCAGGAAGATCCGGCAGCTGTCCCTCAAGTGCTGGGTAACTAGGGGCTTGAGGTGTCCGAGAATGCCGAACTGATGTCAAAGGGTGATAGGAACCCAAAAGCAAAAGGTTTGGACGCACAAGCAAAGATACCTCGTGCAAAGAAACATCAATTCAGGGCATGGTCCGGGTCCGCCTGAGGAGGCGTAGAAAGTAGCGGGTGGGCACGTCTGGGAAGCCCCGGGCCGTGACCAGCACGCAGGGCTTGTGCTGCTCCAAGAAGCCCTCGTCCAGGAGCCGGTGGAAGACCGTCTCCTTCTCCTAGCGTCAAAAACACCAAAACACTCCGCTAGGGAAGGGTGGAACGAAGTTGCAACTGGGTCTCCACCACGAAGACCTTTTCGGCCATGGTCTGGACCTGTAGCACGTGGGCGCAAATGGGGGAGATGGAGTGGCCCCGAGGCTCCAAGGCGTCCATCCCATCCACCCATACCTGTGCGGTTCCCTTTTCGGATTTGTAAAGCCAAAAGGAAACCGACCAAAAAAGTTCCCTAAATCTTGAGAAACTCGCTCAACTCATGCTCCTTGTTGCTGTGGCTGGAAACAAGCGGAAGATTGGGGGCCCGGTCCAAAAGTTGCGCTTTGTGCATGCTCACCTCCTCGCCGTCAAAGCGAGGCTCCATAATGCGCAGGTGGCCACGCACCAGGCCCTTGGCCGTGCCCACCAGGCGCAGCGCGTGGCGCGGCACCTCCAAGGTCTGGCACAAACTCTTCAGCAGGTCATTGCTCAGCTGCTGGCGCGGGAAGAGCTCCACGTGCCGGTAGAAGAGCTCCCGGGGCGTGGCGTGGCGCTTCGACATCAGGAGCCCGTGCACCGAGTCCAGCAGCGCCAGCTGCCGCCGCAGCTGCAAACGCCGGCCTCGCCTCAGCAGCCGCCCCAGCTCCAGCCCCAGCCGCTCCCCGCGCGCGCCCTGGAGCGCTGGGCCCACCGCATCCGCCGGAAACGGCGCTGGCGTCTCACTGAGAGCGCTCAGCAGCCGCAGCGTCCCCAACTCCACTGCGGAAATCAGCTCCAGGCGCAGCGTATCTGGGCCCCAGGGAGAGCTCATCTGGTCTGAGGCGAGAGCCAAATGCTGCGGGCTGAAAACAAACCTGGTGAAAATGCAACAGTCAAATGTTCCCGCAAAAGAATGACTTTGCCCGAGCCAACCACTTCTTCTGGCGGTGAGCGAGAACGAGGCGTCTGCTTCGCCTCGAGGATTCAAGATGCAGTCAAAACAATGAGTTGGACGAATGGAGCAGCCAGGCTCCCAAAGGATCCAACCCCCACCGTCTGCACCGGCGGCCAATAGGTTGTAGGCGGCATCATTTGCCTTGGGCTTCGAGCGTGCTTGGTAGGATCACACGTCCAACGCCATGTGACGCGCTTCTCAAAAAATCTTTGCCGTGCTTTGAGGCGGGGCAGGGAGGCGGGCGCATCTTGCCAAGCCAAGTGCAGCCTGGCCACTGCCAAGCCTGCACCGCCTGCTGGACCTGCGCAAAGAGCACTCATGCTGCTGCAGCACTGTCTGCAACCAAGAGAACGAGACAGGTGGTATGCTTCATGCTAGGTCCAGAAGCCAAAATGGAACTACATAGGGACTCAGTTTTGACAACGCACTGTGCCCTACCCTCGCCCATGCAAACCCTTCAGCCTGCGCTGGGTGCACCAGTTGCATGCGCTGCATGGCTACCTGTGCCCAGACTCAAAAGGCTTCTCTCGAATCCAAGTGGCAAAAGCCGACCGCATCCTTGATGCAATGGCTCGGGTTCAGCATACTTTCCGTTGGGGCCAGGAAATTCAAGTTGCGCCCGTGAAAGAAAATGCCTACATGGGCATGACCACGATTTGTGGCAGTTGCAGGAAAGGACAAGACTGCCCACTTGAGGGTTGCGAAGAGCTGCATCACAATAGGCCACAAGCACTACGAACTACACACAAGCCAGTCCATAGTCAAAATTGTAGCTGCCTTGGTCATCTGGCATGCGCAACTTGGTTTAAGCCGTGACTTTGCCAATCGTGCCTTGTGAGCAGCATGCCAAAGCGCAAACTGAAACACGACGGACTGACGGTTCTTCGAGTGTGGCTGTACCCAACACGCCATGCTGATTGTGTCTCCGGGTCTTGCTGCTTGTTGCAGAATGTGCTGAGTGACTGTGCGCTTCCCCTCCGGCTTGCTGTCTCATTCGGTCATGGCTGGAGCTGCTGGAACTGGAAAGGAGCAGCAAGGCAGTCCCACACATGTCATGCTTGTGGAGCTCAAAAGGCATGAACGCCTACAGATGTTGTAACTGTAGCTTGGACGTACCAACATGTACAGATCCAGGCATTCAAAAGGTGACTATACTGTTTTGGTTCAAGCACGTGCTAAAATAGGACACCCATTTGCTTGCATTTTGAAGAAAATGCAAAATCAAGCTAGCCATTGTTTGGGGTTGGCTAGCGAAGGAAACACGCACTGACCATGAGGACTGCAGCCGCATGCCGCGGATGTTTTCGTCCATTTGCCGCGACAGCTCGTAGAGGCAAATGGCAGCGGCGTGTGCCACATTCAGAGACTCCCCACCTCGCTGTGGCACCTCAACAAAAAGCAAAAACTGCGCTTGAATGGGCTCTGTGTGTATAACAACATGTGGGTGTGTGTGGTTGTACGTATATTACGTATAATAGCATATACATATTATGTATAATATATATATATACAGACATACAGGATGCTGTATGTGTGTGTGTGTGCAATGTGTGCAGGTGTGAATGAGTGTCTGCATGTCTGACCATGATTGGACAGGAGCCTCAACAAACACCTGAGCTAAAGAACAAGATCAGCTGGACGTCCAGAAGGGGGAAGGGGATGCTCAAATTTGAATTTCAGAGTTGCATGCTGACTTTGAGTGTTTCTGATGGACAAATAGTCCCACAAAACACTGGCATATGACGCTCAGTCTATGGAGAGTCTCAGGGACTCAAGCCACTGGATTCCCAATATCGCCCGGATTCGACAAACAAGATCATGTAGGGCTCGCCTTTCTCCACAAAGTGATTTGTGTGGGACCTACAAGTGCCACAAAGTGGTGACGGTCTTCACGCCGCGGCACACAAATCCTCGCGTCGCTCAAGGCCACACAATCAGCAGACACACCCTGGTCCTCGTGGCCCACCACCAGCGCCCAATTCCTTCAAGCGTGGCGCTCCAGGAATTGGTTCATTGATCAGTGCCACGCCTTTTGCTAAACAGAGAGATCCCCACGTAAAAATGGACGAGGATTGACGGGTCGGTCTGCCGAGACTATGAGAGTCGAGCTCTTGAGGCATCTTTGGCGATTCCCCTGGGGCTGGATGGGCATTTCGACACTGGGCTTGGGCCATTGGAAACCTCGACGCACGTCGGCCCCTCGGCCCCTCGGCCCCTCGGCCCTCGGCCCGGCCCCTCGGCTCGGCCCCGCGCCTGTCCCCCGGCTCGCAGGCCTCCACCGGCTCCGCGAAGTGGTCCTCGGCGCAGAAGATGCGGAGGCCCTGCTCCCGGAGCTGGCGCAGCCCGTCCTGAGTGAGTCTACGGGCCATGGGATTGCTAGGCTGTGGCTCTTGACTTTCTGATCTGTGAAGCAGCCTGCGGTCTGGTCTTTTTCACACAGCTTCGGAACTTGCGTTTGGGTTTTCATATGGCAAAGGTTCCCCTGCGGAAACATTGGCTGTCCATGGGTGACATCTAGATTTGAAACTGTACCACTGCGGGTGTCTGTATCGGCGAAGGCCATGGAAACACCCCCTAGCATGTCGCACATCCGACAGGACAAAGCATGACAGTAAAATAATTGCGAGCCAGAGACAGCTGGGCTCGAGCCTCAACTGCATCGCTCGAAAACTTGCAGTCTGACGTACGTGCAATCGGCCGATTCACTGACCCTCAGTAGCCTGGGTATCGCTGGGTGACCCAGCGTCGCCAGGCGCATTGGGAGAGCCTGTGCCCGAATACGCGGCCTGGCCAACCTTGAGCTCCTCTTGCAGCTCCTTGGTCATGGTCAGCTGCTCCGGCTCCGGCTCGGCCTCCGCCACCTTGAGAGCCTGCAGCTTGGGATCAATGCTGGCCCTGCTGCTTCTCCGTCTGGTACACCAAGCTCTCCGCGCTTGGTCTCTACGGCCTTGTGCTTCCCATCCTCCGCTGCGTGGGCCTCATCCTGCACCATCTTCTCTACGTCGGTCTTGTCCAGAGTGGAGGAGCCGGCGATTGTGATGGTCTGCTCCTTGCCCGTGGCCCGGTCTTTGGCAGACACGTTCAAGATGCCGTTGGCGTCCAGGTCAAAGGTCACCTCAATCTGTGGCACACCACGAGGTGCAGGCGGCACTCCCTCCAGCCGGAAGGTGCGCAGGATCTTGTTGTCCTTGGAAAATTGCCGCTCGCCCTGCAGCACCACAATCTCCACCGAAGGCTGGGAGTCAGCGGCTGTTGAAAAGACCTCCGATTTCTTCGTGGGGATGGTGGTGTTCCTGGGGATCAGCACGGTGGACACGCCACCCAGCGTTTCCACACCCAGCGACAGGGGAGTCACATCCAGCAGCACGATGTCCTTCACATCTCCAGCCAGCACCCCAGCCTGCACTGCGGCTCCCACCGCCACCACTTCATCTGGGTTCACGCTCTGGTTGGGTTTCTTGCCGCCAACCAGCTCGGAAGCCAAGCTTTGAATGGCCGGGATCCTCGTGGAGCCGCCTTCGAGCACAATCTCGTCAACGTCTTTGGCGCTGAGCCTGGCATCCTTCAGCGCGCTCTCCACCGGCGTCCTGCATCGTGCGATGAGCTTGCTAGCAAGCTGCTCGAACTTGGCACGGGACAAGGTCTCCTCAATGTGCTTGGGGCCGGATGCATCAGCAGTTATGAAGGGCATCTTGGCCTTCTCCGCTGCCTCTGTGAGACGCTGCAAGGCCTGTCTGTCCTTCAGGAGGTCGATGCCCTCGCGCCTCTTGAAATCCTCTGCCAGCCAGTCCACGATGACCTTGTCGAAGTCATCGCCGCCAAGGTGTGTGTCGCCGTGTGTGGCCAGAACCTCACACACGCCATCACCTACCTCCAGAACGGAGACGTCGAAGGTGCCGCCGCCAAGATCAAACACCAGGATCGTCTCATTGTGCTTCTTATCAAGGCCATATGCCAGCGACGCTGCCGTGGGCTCATTTACGATGCGCAGCACCTCCAGTCCCGCAATCCGTCCAGCATCCTTCGTAGCCTGGCGCTGGGAGTCGTTGAAGTATGCGGGCACTGTCACCGATCTTCCCAGCATCGGCGCTGAGCTTGCGCAGCACCTGGGCCGAGACCTCGGGCGCAAACTTCTTGCTCAAGATCGACCTTCAAACTGCACTTTGTAGGACACCTCTTTCAGTTCCTCCTCCACTTCATTGGGCTGGCGGCCGACAAAGCGCTTCACCGAGTAGGTGTTCTCAGGGTTCACCACGGCCTGGCGCTTTGCGATTTGCCCCACCAGCAGCTCTCCACCCTTCGAGTAGGCCACCACGCTCGGTGTGGTGCGCGCACCCTCCGCATTTGGGATCATGGTGGGGGTGCCCGCCTCCACAGCAGCCAGTGCAGAGTTGGTGGTTCCCAGGTCAATGCCCACCACCTTCTCACCCGGAGCTCCAACTCCTTCCGCCCGGGCAGCGATCCTGGCTCGCGGCTTCCGGCGCGCGGACGCCGCCGCCACGGCGGTGGCCGCGCCCACCGTGAAGGCGCCTGCACCGCCGGCCGCCGCTTCGGCTCCCTGCGCAGCGTGCGCTCCCCGCGCACCAAGTGCGCTGAGCTCGCTTGAACGAAGTGACGGAACTGCGAAGCTGATGCCTCCCAAACCGGCACAGGCCACTGCCGCAGCTTTTGCCTGCTTAGAAGCCATCACTCAACTACAGAATGGTCTGCGGGCACTTCAGCAATGCAATGTCGCACCTTGCCAGCTTAAGCCAACTGCGGCAAACGATGCTTTGCGTACTAAAGCAGACTCAAGCAAATCGGGATGTGTACAACGCTCTGGAATTTGCGTGAACCTACGAGGCTGCTTTGCAAGGCAGTCGTCTTAGGAAGCTGCTCACGCGCCAAGGCACACTTAAAGGCTCTCCAAGGTAAAAGTCCATGAAGTACAGCCTGACAAGTCGCCCATCGAGACGCTTCCCTTACATAAATTCCATGTTTGGCACAGATTGGAAGACATGAATATGTTTCAAAATCGGGGACCACACAAAAAAAGCTTTCCGTTTGGAATCTTCTGAAAACCACCACCACGCACAGCTCTATGGTATGCCCCAAATGACCAGCCCGCACAATATGCTTCTCCCACCAAAACATCCGGTCTGCCAAAGGCGCCATCGCCTCCCCAACCCTCAAATCCTCAAATTCTGAAGCCCTGAGGCCCTCAGGCAAGCACCAGCCCATAGAGACGCGGCAGGTCCGCCCGCCCAAGCTGTTCCAGACAGGTCTCCTCAGCACTTTCGTGAGGAAAAGAATCGCCACTCAGCCTGGTTTGTGGGAGAAGCTTCTTCCAGTTGGATCTGCAGTGGCCCGCATAAGCATCCCAGCAAGAATTCAATGGGAGGCTACCGACACCACCAACCAGACTGTCTAACAACATGTTCGAGCATGTTGTTTTTCCAAACCGTCATATTCATTGATGTTCACCTATTCTCCAGCTGTATGGAGCATCCCAGCAGTCGGCAAAAAATCCGCACCAGTTCACATCATGGCAAATGACCACCAATTGCTGGAGTCGCCCAAATGCATGCAAGGGCTCGACACCAGAACGCTGGTCACGCCTGAGATGTGCGCAAAGCGATGTCCGTCGCAAGTTTGGGGGAGGTGGAGAATTGCCAACTCTGAACTACCTAGTAATTTGAGCCTCATTCAATTATCAGATTGCCTCCCACCAAGCACGTGCTTGGTTAGACACATCCCTGTCATGGGCACTTCAAACGTATCGATAGGGGACGTGTTTGCCATGATCAGGGCCCTCGATTCTGGAGAAGCATATCTTTCTTTTCTCAGTCACGCCCAAGAGGTACGTTCGAAGGAAAGACCAACCAACTGATTCCAAAAAACGAGCCAGATAAGTGGGCGTATCCCTCTGCCAGGAAGCCCAAATGGTAGGCAGTACGCAGCACCTGGCCAATGTTCTGCTGCGCCCCGAGCCCATCCAACACCAACACCGGCGGCCTTCGCAGGGACGGCAGCTGGCAAAGAGCCCCGTGCAAAAGTTGAACATTCTGAAATCGGACGCATGTCCTATGGCCTTGGGTCAAAAGCACGTACCCCCAGTGAACATCCCGATCCCAACTAAAATAAACTAAAACGGGTGGTGCACCTACCCCAAAATGGTACCATTGGTGTTGACCCACAGCTATATTTTGTTGAAACCAGAAACAGCTGAAGGTCGAAAGTGCCAAGGAGGCAATCCAGGCATTGACTCATCTCGTGGTCTGCACCAAAACGGCCAATGAGGGGATCTTTTCACTGAGCATTCATTTGGAACTGTCCAAGAAGCAATCTAGCGGGCCCCACGCAGGAGGTCATTGGTTCCCAAAGGCTCAAAGGCATGCCTCCTATTAGGCAAAGCCCGCGGGATCAAATATGGATACCCGTATCAGGACAAATGCAGACCTGCACTTGCACTGGAAACCTAATGCTCTCGCCTGGCCAAAGCCAGCGGCTGCGGCACTGGATATGCCACGACATAGTTCACAGATCCTTGGCTGAGAGCGCACTCGTCCCTCGAGTCCCTCGAGTCCCTCGAGTCCCTCGAGGGTCGGGGATCCTGATTCGAGCGGCGCTTCTGTGTGGTGCCCTCGAAGGCGAACTCGGCCTCACCACATGTGGGAGAAGCTGTGGTCCGCACTGATGGCTTCCAATGCAGTGTGCAAATGACGCATGAGCCTCGGTGAAAACATGCGGACACCCTAATGGACATAGAAAATTGAGCGAGTCGTCCTGCCAACTCACCCCTTTGACCAATGGACATGTCGCCCAAACCCCAAACCTGACATGACAGCGACCCGGTCCAGCCTCGATCAACTTGCGATCCTAAGATGCAGTGTGGTTCAGCCAACAGGAAGGGCTCGGGTTTAAACTCGGATTGGTTATCGATGTTTGGCCTAGTTGTTATCTCTTCTTGTGGTGGAACCAAATCCAAGCAAGCCAACGAAAAATAGCCCTGCAAACAGAAGCTTCCACCTGCATCTCCCTGGCTGGCCTGGCCTCGGAAAGCTTCGCTTTTCAGAAATCGCAAAGACCTAACATGTGAAGGTTGGCTGATGAAGAGACCAACACAAAACAATCCCAAAACGAAGAAATGGCACTGGTTCCAAGGAGTTATGGACTCGCAGTAGACCGGCACTCAAATCATCGGAGGAAAAAAAATGAAAAGAAAAAAATAAGCCCAGATAGAATTGGAGATTTGCCCTCCAAAACACCAGCATCCAAAACATCACCCCTGAGCACCCGGACCAGCGCCCTAAGAACCCCTTATGGATTTCCAAAGAAGAAGTTGGTTAAATTGGTTTTGCCTAAGACCCCGTTGAGGGCTGTAAGCAGGAAAACCGCCAACTGGCGTGCCCGGCAATCAAGGTGAGCAGAAAGATAAGAGGGAGACATGACCCCAGCGTCACAGCATCTGGCATATGACCGGAGAGGCTGGGAGACAAGCGGGAGACTCAACCGCAGAGCCGGCAGCATCTGGCATTGGGAGACACAGGAAGATAAGCAGGAGACGCGACCCTGGAGCCGGCGTCACACCATCTGACATTTGAGCAGAGAGACTGGGGGAGACAGGGAGACAATTGGAAGATACGACCCCGCAACCAACGTCTCACTTTCCCATTCTTTCAACCTCAAGAACCCAATGCTTCGCTTTGGGGAAAAGCATTGAAGCAACTTAAGTTCCCAAAGTACAGTAGCCGCCTTGCTTCGAGGCACGGCCTGGAGGACGCGCGAGGAGGCGGAGGCCGCCAGGCGCAGCTCCTCGTTGCTGGGCTCGCAGAGCAGCACGGAGTCCACCTCCCAACACAGCGCAACAAAGCGCAACAAAGCGCAACAAAGCGAAGCAGGAAAAAAGGAGGGAAAACAGAACAAAGCAAAAATGGGCAAGCAAACTTTGGGCAAGCGGCTTGGTTGTGGTTCGGTGGTGCCTTGGGCTTTGTCGTGGCTTGTTGGTTTGGAAGCTTTGAGGCGGTTGAGAGGTTTCAGGCGATCAGCGCTCTTGAGCCGAATTGACAATGCAAACCTATATCTGCCATGCAACACCAGTGAAGGGACAGCTACGCTCAAACCTGTCATGCTCACTGAAGGACTGACGATTACAGTGTGCACATTGATTTTGTCTGCTACTGCAGAAACTCTGTTTGATTGCGAGTCAACCAAAGCGATATCGCTCTCTCCAACAAAAGCATCTTGCTGATCCTCCGCACAGGATGTGCTTTCCCTGGGAAGTGCTTTGAGCAAAACTTGCCAGTTGCACATGCAAGATGAAAAGACAATAGGTGTCACAGGGCTTTCTTCTGACATCCATTTGTTCCTCCATGCTCCTCCCAATTGGGACTACAAGTTCCTTTGTCATCCTTCGCACAGCGGTCCGAGCCTCGATGCGGCGGCCCGCGGCTTTTGCCTGTAGCAATCGCCGCAAGCAGTCCCAGCTGTAGTGCACCCGCACCTGGGAGTCGGGTCGTCCTTCGATCCCCGTGTCGGTGCTGCTTGCCGGAAGCTACGGTTAAACCGAAGCCTGGATATTATGGCATCTGGAGACAAAACCGAAAAAGGCGCTTCCTCAAGCAGGGACGTCCATGCATGCGCTCAAGCAAAGCATTCTTACTCTGCCATAGGGTTTCTCCGCCGAAACCCAAAAGGGGGGAAACAAAACTGCCTCCTTTGCCTTCCATGTTTGTCCCCTCCCTCATGCAAAGGAAGCGACGGGGCACTGCAGCTTCCGCAGCGAGAGTGGCACCTGCAGTGGCCGGGACCAAGAGAAAGCAATATTTTGGGATGCTTCTACAAGATGTCACAGGGCTTAAGAGATGTCCACTAGTTGGGGAGTCACGGTTCGCGCCATGGATCCGATCAACACTGCATTTCTGCTTCGGCGAGAAACGCCAAGAAAAGAAGACTGAAAACGTGGACAACCAGTAAACAGTAGTGTTGCTGGCCAGAAAAGACTTTCATGCCAAACCAACCGGATAGTTTTACAAACCTCGTTGGAGATGCTGATTCCCCCCACAAAGGTGTGAAGTCGGAATAAGTTTGGCCTTTTCAGGGAACTGCCAGGGGCTATTCCGCAGTTGCAAAAACCATGACCAGCCAATAGAGTTGGAGCAAACTAGAGAACCCGAGCAGGCCCGAGCGAGCCCGCCAAAAACAAACTAATTGACCAATGCTCAGGCCTCTGTTTGCAGCACATTAGCAGCAATGGCGCGGACTTGACGTTCGTACTCGGGATGATTCCTGCGGAACCGTGGACATTGACTGCCTCCTTCTCTTTCTTGGCTAGAGCATGGCAGTGTGTTCCCAATGTAAGTCTCATGAAACCCTGGAGCGGCGCTTCCTGCGATCTCTGTGGCGGTAGATCACTGCCTGCAGGTCATCTGCGCCGGCAATCCAATGCCTTAGCCCAAGTCCCAGGTAACATCAACGTGACGGCGCCGCGGCGAAGCTCACGCTAGCAACTTATACAAGGTTTGTAACGTGCTGACACTTTGACGTCATAAATATGTCGTCAAATTGCAACGCAAGCGAGGAAAAGCCACAATGTGAGAGAGAGCAAACCCATGGCGACTGCGCCTCCAAATTTCTCCGAGCCACCGGGCACTTCAGGTATCTCCCCAGCTCCATTGTGACGCCTCAGCCCACTGGAAACGCAATGTATGATGTATCTCACTTTCGCAGACCTATGGACGAAGATGCCCCCAGGCGACTCCCTGCCCGTCCTCCCGTCAAATGTGCAGACAGACGGCGCCCAGCGGCCCGCGCCGCGGCGCCAGATTCGGGCCATGGCATCGCGGCATCCCGCTTTGCACACCCCGCTTGGCCCGGTCTATAGAGGCAAGCCTCTGAGGCATGCTGACAATCTGGTGGGCTACAACGATTCCCATGTCATGGCACACTTTGCGCATCTTTCCAGATTGAACAACTCCTTGTGAAGCAGGGAATACTGCACTGACACTTGACTCGACCGGGCACGATATGGCTTGCAAAATCAGACTCTGGTGCCAATAGTATCAGGATTGATTTGGAGCAATGCCCCTGGCATGATTCATGCCTCTTCCGCGAATTCTTGAGGGTAAGACAGTGTGCGCCAGAAGGGCGTGCGCCCGTTTTGCGCAAGCCCCCTCAACTCCTCAACTCCAGTGGTTCCGCAGTCCGGCTGCTGGAATTGGGAACCTCAAGTCTCCCCATAGTTTTGGCTGTCAAACAGGCGGGAACATCTGAAACTGAGTCTTCCGCTTGGTCGTTCCCGCGCTTCCGACTCGTGTCCTCGGATGTCACTGTGCAGTCTCGGGCATCAGAGCTCCTTGCAGTCCTGGCACTGTTCGTACTGGTGGTGCTCCTGACTCTCTTGGAAACAGCGCCGCTTCAGCAGAGGAAGGGAACAAATGACTTGGTGGAGGCGATGTAGGCTGACCAGTCTGCCTTGTACCGCTGGGACAAGTAAGCCTCTTTGTCCGGGATGTGATAGAAGTAGAAGCTGGCAGCCATGGTGATGGGCACCCAAACGTTCCACCAGCACCCTGAAGCAGCTGCCCAACCAGCAAACAGCACCACATCGCCCAAATAATTGATGTTCCGGCTGAGGGCAAAGAGCCCCTGCGTGTAGCACCGGCCCCGATTCTCAGGCAGTTGCTTCCACCACTTTCTCTGCAGCTCAGACCAGGTGTTCAGCCAGGAGCCGAGGGAGTAGAGACCCACCGCCAGCGCAAGCTCTGGAGCACTCATGGCACCCCGATGCGAAGCCCCGAGGGCGAAAGAGGTGAAGATGGTCAGCAGCCACAGCATTACCACCGTCAGCTCCTCCAGCGCCAGCTCCCGCGGCAACAGCCACCGGGCCATGGCATTCAGCCGCAACAAGTAGCAGCCGCCCAAGACCAACAGCACTCCACGCCGAAACCCATCCGCTGGCACCAAGACGTGGCCGTAGAGCGCCCACAGCGCAAGGCTCTCCGCAGCGAAGACGTTGGCGCGCAGCATCGAGCTCCGTGGCACAGAGCGGAAGGCCTGAGGCTCTGGCGCCGCCGGCACCTCCGGCGCCCCATGTAGCTCTTGGTAGCTCATCCTGGACAGTCCTCAAAGCCCTCGAGCCGCAAGAGATCCTGCTTGCAATCCTATCTGACCCAGGCCCTGTGCGATGGCAGAATTCATAGCCAGCACGCCTTTTTCGCATGTGTCTCCGAGTCAAGCTCAAAGGAGGTTCCTAAAGCCGTCGACACGTGCGCCTGCGAAAGCCGCGAGGAGTCCAAGGAACCGTCTCCAAGGAACCGACTGCAACTCGCAGCTCCGGCTATGTACATTACGAACCTGGCCCAGAGGTGCCCAATGCTCAACCGACACCTGGATTTCCAGATTTCCTCACATGGCTCAAACAACATAAAGCATCACCCCCTGGGCAAGACATGGATGCAAGAGCTCCGGCCTTGGCCCTCACTGGCCCTCCGGCTCCTGGGGGGCAAGTTCAGTAGATCCCTTCGCAAGTATCGGGTGTCCTCTTGAACAAGAACAGACCAGGAAGCTAGATGTCTACCTCTGCTATACTTTCCCTGCTTTCTGCTTGCACATGTCTTACAGTGAAAAAAGGAAGACAAGCAACAGCAAGCAAAGCGACCGTCCCCCGCTATCTCTCCTGCTCCTTCTTCAAGGCATTGTACTTCTCCTTCAGCTCCTGGCAGTTCGATCCAAATGGGCATCGAACTGTCATGTGGCCCCACGGCCACTAAGTACAGCAACATGGACTGCATTTCCAAACCTGCAAGGCAACGGTCTCCTCCAACTACCAACACCCAAATTCTCAGTGGCTCATATTGTTTGTAACTCTCTCAAGTCCCCTGCTCACAAGACCAGGCCCCGTTGTGCAACAAAACCCTCGGAAAGCGATAGCCTGTCCTTCAGGCGCACAAGCAATGGCTCCACCTCCGGGTGGTCCATGGCGTTGCTTGCCTCCCGCAAGCAATGTCTCTCAACCCGGCTTGTGTATTAATATGACTTGATTGTTTTGTCTTGCCTCGCCTTGTCTTGCCTTGTTGCATTGCATTGCATCGAATTGCACTGTATTGCATTGCAATTGCATTGCTTGTTGTTTCTTGTCTCGTTTCGTTTGTATTGAACTGTCTTGTCTTGCATTGTGTTGCTTTGTACTGTGTTGTATTGAACTATCTTGTCTTGTCCTGTGATTGATGGGTCTTGTATTGCATTGAACTGTCTTGCCTTGTGACTTCTTGGTGCGTTGTGCACTGTTTTGCCTTGTCGTCTTGCCTTGCCTTGCCTTGCCTTGTGTCTTGCCAACTTGTGCTGTACAGTATTGTGTAGTCTTGTCTTGCCTTGCCTTGTGTTGTTGTGTTGCATTCAATTGTCTCGTCTTACGTTGTCTTGTCCTGCCTTGATTTGTCTTAACTTGTCTTGTCGTGTTGTGTTGCTCTGTGCTGTATTCACTTCTCGTGTCTTGTCTTCCAACAAGCCCGACCCTCCCGCAGTCAGAACTCTTTTGCATCACCTGGCAGCTCAGCATCCCCAGCATCCCGCATTGCCAGAATCTGCTACGCATACCAGCACTAAGCATCACCATCACCCGCCCGCATCAACTTGCTCAATCTGTCTTCGCACAGACATGTAGGCATCAGTGGCAATATGCAGTGGCCCTCAAGTGCAAAGCCGGTGTGTCGTGTCTCACAAAAAGAGCGGTCGAAATTATGTGTCCTTTTGTCAGGCTCCTTTCCGCTTTGGGGCTGCCGGGCTAAGGCGTACAAAATACGCTTCTTTGACCTGTCGTGTGCTATGTAACCGGCGCTTCCTGGAAGCTAGAAACGCAATTCTCCAAGTGTTAGACACTTTGGTCTGCAGTGTGCACTTGACTCCAAAAACACGTGGAGGTTTTGTCGGGCGGTGGGTTTGGAACTGGTTTTGACCTGGGAAGATGTCAGGTTAGACTCCGGTTTGGCTGAGCAGGATTTTGGGTGTAGTGGGATCTAATCTGGTCAGGCCAAGGTCAGGGTGTGAATCAATCTACGATTGAATTCAAGCGATCTATGGCATAGTCGGAGTTTGGCTTTGATTTTCCAACGCCGTCAACTTTGATCCATTCACCAGTTCCCAAAGGCTTCCTTGGGGCTACGGAAGGGGGAAGAAGAAAGAACACAACAAGCAGTCCCTTTTTCTTCGGTCTCAAAAATGAGGTGCCAGTTTGGGCAGCCCTCCAATCCCAGAGAAAACTGTCAGGTGTGTGAGGCCAGAAACATCGCCGGGCTCAACCTGACTTGGAGGGTGTGCCCAACCCACCGGGCAGCCATCATGGTGCCATGAGTGGGTACACGAGACAGAGTATTTCAGGCAAGATTAGCCAACGAGGCTCTATCTTGACCTGCTTTACAGGATTGAAATCTGGAGCGGGGTGTGTGAGCTCATCAGCCCACTCGTTAAATTCCCGCTTGACATGAGTGGGGACAGTGTTACCCTAGAGTCTGGAGTCGTGCAACAATCTCCATCAGGATGTATGCGGATGGCGCCTTTCGGGCAGAGCCATCCAGCAAGGAAAAAACATTGCCTTGGTTCACTGGCCACTCTCAGGCGACGACCCCGAAGATCTTCGCATTGGCGATGGACCAGCTCCACCAGTAGGAGCAGCTCAAGGGCCGCTATGCAGCGCTGGGGGTCATCATGTAGGAAAGCCCATGGACAATTCTGCCTGGTGACCTTGTACTGAAACCACCAGACTTCCAACTTGTCGGGGTCAGGGTGGGAGGCACACCAGCCACTCATCCATGCATGGTCAGCGCCACGACTAGCGCTTGCATCTGAAGCGCCATACCATGGGCTAGCTGGCGTGAAAGGTGAGGGAATGGGCAACTTGCTCTTGAAAAGTTGGGAGGACGGCGCACAGCACTGGCCTCCTTCCAGGCCCAAAACGGTTGCAGGAAGGCTCGCGCCATGGGGCAAGCCGCTATGGACCAACTAATGCGGCCAAGTGCTTTCTTTGTGGGCGAAGACTTCCCCCAGTTGGAGCTTCGCCAGGATGTCCATGACCAGGTCAAACTTCTGCTTGGCCATCACGACAAATGGCTATCACAAAACCCAGCCATGTGTTAACCGGTGACACCACCGTCTTCTTCCAGGACAAAGGCGTGCCAAGAGCCAGGAGGGTGACCAGAAAGGCCGTGGCCAGCTCCCCGGAGTTTCCAGCAGAAGTCGTCCACAAAGACCAGACTGTGTTATGCCATATCCCCCCACCACCTCCTGGATCTTGGCCACCTGGAACCGCCAGCCATCTCTTCGAACCATGATGCGGCGGTGTGCCTTAGTCCGCTTTCAGGAGGAAGATGTCGTCTGCAGAACCGGGTCACTGCCATAGGGCAGGCAGTGCCATTTCTGTGCCCGCTCGGCCTGGTCGTGGTGCGGGGCCCCGGGTTCGTCCATTCAGAGCCAACGGCATCCGGGCATGAAGCCATGGGGAGAGGGGAACCCAGTGGTGGTTGTGTCGTGTCCCCTGGTTCCCCGTCGGGGCCAACGGCACAGCAGCTTCGGGTGTCGTTGTGTGGCTCTTTTGCTGTCGCCTGTGGCCAGTGGATTCCATGTAGGCAATCAGCCACCATGGGAGCCGTAGTGCGTTCCGCCGTGTTCTGCTGTTTGTGGAGGTTGGCACCCCCCACAGATCCATCATAGACAATCCGGATCTTGTAGGCCCCGGGCAGAGCTCAGCCGCATCTGGACGCGGCTTCCTCTTTCGTGAAAGGCCCTCTACCACGCCGAGGTCCTTTTCTTCCCAGAAGGTCGCCTCGATCTTTTTCTGGAAAGCCTCAGCAGAGGGGTAGTTGTGTCGACCACGAGGAGGAGATAGCTTTTGAAATTCCGGGGGCTCACCGGCTATCTCTTCTTTGGAGGCGAAGTGAGGGTGGCCTCATTCACCTTGAAAGGGACGCCATCTCAAAGGAGGACAGGATAATCAGCATCTGGATCACCTCCAGGTGGAAGGGTTGACCATCCACCACGCCATGTAGCTCAGGCGGGGATATCTCTGACCTGGTTTGGTTGAGGTCCTGCTCCGTGAATGTGTCGTAGTCCTGAGAGGGGTCGATGCGGGGGGTTAAGACAAGCGAAGGTTTTCCGCCCCCCCATCTCGTAGCGGTCGTGACCAGAGTTGTAACATAGGAAAAACAGGCATGGCCGAAGGCCTGTCAGTGGTTCAGGGTGATTCTGTCAAATTCACCCCTTGGAAGACTGCTGGGGTGTCTCTACCCCGGTCTGTGTGAGCCATGGGGCGTGGCCTCTGGCCTGGATGCGCCGACTTTTTTGAGAGGGTCGGCTCCGCCAGTTTGGCTTGGGAGCAGTCCTCCGTGGTCTCTGGACCGCGCGCCTGGGTGACCCTCATGCGCCCCACCGTCCGCCCTGCGGGCCTTGGTCCTCGGCGGGGAACTGTGGGCCCTGCACTTGGACTGTCCGTAGGATCCGCCCCCTTTTGCGTGTTGCCTGGGGTGGATGGGCTTCTGTTGCAAAAAGGTGAAGCGTCTTGCAAATGCCCAACATCATGGCCCACGGGTACCTGCTCAGCGATGAGGAATCAGGGAACCCGAATGCTTGGCGTGCTGGCATCGCATGTGGTTCCAATGTTCTAGGTTCAGGTTAGCTGGAAAAAGGGAGCAGCCCAAATGGACGCACACTCCTGCGCTCCCACAACTTGCAAGCTGATGGCCGGGTCTTCCGGGTGCTCCAACATGAGTGCTGTTGACGTACATCTGCCGGAGGAGCAGCATGGACTCATCGTCCAGTTTGGCCGTTTCAGAGTGGGGAGACCCCATATGTGATCCTGGAAGCGTCCCCGGGCGCCTGGCTTTGGATGTGACGCAGCACCGACCACGTCTTGCGATTGGCCCCCCAATGACTGCTTGAATGCGCCCCTCCGCTGCTGCTTGGCAAAGATCCCCGTAGCGGGTTGGCCCCAAGATGTTGCGCTGGTCCCCTTTGGAACGCAAAATGTCAATGGCGACAACGTGGCATTGCCCGGGAGCCAGCTGTCGGGCTGCCTGGGCAGCCGGGGGCGACTCTGGGAAACGCCTCTGCGTTGGTGCCCCCGGCGTGGGAGGCGCCCCGCAGCCCGGGCACTTGCCGTTCTGAAAGAGCAGCGACATCACCGCCGGCGTCCCCAAGAGGTAGGTCCGTGCTGCCAGGATAGATCCCAGCAGGCGATAGACCTTCTTCCAGTCGGCCGCGGTCTCACGCTGCTTGGCGAGCATCTCCGGGTGTAGTGCACGAATGGCACGTGGGCGCATAGGCTGGTCCTTGGATGGGTGCGGGCCTCGAGCTTGTTCATGCCGGGTTCGCTGAGTTGGGGCCCAGGGTAGCAAATGGAGGGGCCCGTGCTGGCAAGTCCAAGACACCCCCCGTCATGCGGAGTTCTCCCGCGCGCTTAACCATCATCCACTTAAGAGCCCCAGCTGTGCTTGGGGTCCTTGGAGGGGGCGCCCGACGCAGCCCCTTCCAATTCAGCAGCAGATGCGCCGGGAAGGGATTCCGGCCCGCCGTGATGAGGGCCTTGGCCTCCATGTAGGGGTCCATGAGATCCTGCAGTTCCGCTCCCTTGACATCATGCCATGCCTCTGTTGCCCCAAAGACCCCGCGCTCAATGGCATCACCACGGGCCTTTGGGGGGCAGGCAGACATGGGCGCCGGCAGGGGTCTGAGCATCCGAGTCTGCTCTTTCCTCTCGGCTTGCCTGGTTTGGTTCGTCGCTTTGGCTTCGAGACCCCCTGGTCCACCTCCATGTCGGCCTTCTCCTCCACGGCCTGCTCCATTGTTTCGACGTCCGCCCCCCCCGTCTTCTGCTTCTTCCTCTTGGTTTGTGATGGGTGCCTGATCCTTGTCATCATCACTGGAAGGCGGGCTCTGGCAAGAGCCTGCTGGCATCTGATTGAGCATGAGCCAGCCCTCCTCCTCCTTCTGCACGGCCTTCGTCAGGAACTTCTTCATAGCTTCCTGCGCCTCCCGCGAGGGCTTCGCCCGATCGTGAGCCGCCTTGGCGATGTCTCCAGCATAAGCGGGGGCGCTGTTCAGGGCCATGGCTTACTAACAGAGGATAGGGGGTCTTTTTCAGAAATGCTTGACCAGTTGGTTTGCCAGCACTTGAGCCAAAATGGGCCCAAGTGCAGGCTTGTGTGAACACATGTCATGTGGTCCGGCACGCCTACCCACAAAAGACCAAAAGGTTGAAATGGGATCATGAAGGCGACGAGTCGGAGATTGAATCGGGCTCTCCTAAGCGTTGAAAAACAATCCTGCAACGATTCCCAGTGCTTGGGTTACGGCATTGGTCAACAGAATGCCTTTGTCAAGAAACCGAAAAGCGACTTCCGCTGCCTCAATTCCATATTTGTCAATGACCTCGCGCTTCTTCTTCGCGAGAACCTGGGTCCAGGAAGAATCCGGAGATTGGCTCGGGTTGGGACATCACAATGTATGTGGGAGTGGCAAGCCTTCAGGGCTTGACGAGTGAGCGGGTTGTTCAGTGCCATAGCGACCAAAGAGCTTGGCCCCCAGGCACGGCCCGCTGCATTCACCTGCGCCTTCAATTCTCGTCGCACCTAGGTTTTGTCTACCGGAAAATCTCCAATGAAATTCGCAGCCCTCTCGGCCCACCCTGGTCTCATGCCGATGCTGTTTCTTGCAAGTGAAGAATCTGAGGCAGAGTCGACAGCAGGCTGAGATGAAGTTTGAAGTTAGTTGTTTGGCATCGCCCCTGCTAGACTTGATTCTCCTGAGCCAGTATTTTCACAAGAACCGGCTCACTTGTGGATCAAACCAACACCTGACGTAAGTCATGCCAAAGCTCCAGTGAGTAAACCAGGCAACTTTCAGCTTTATCCGAGAAACAACAGTGAGCCGCAGCCAAGGCATTATATATCTACCAAAAACAGGCTTGGACAACAAATGAATGTCTCTTATTTTTGTGGGTACAGCAATAAACTGTCAATGGACAACTGGAGATGTTGATCGAACCTCAAGTCTTTGGACGCAACATCACTGGCGAAGCCGCTGGGTTTCAGCATGCAAAATGGAACTCGCAGCCGGAAAGTCATGCAGCCTGAGCTACGTTGAAGTGTATCCGGTCCTGGCAAAAGCTGAAATGTATCTAGTGGTCCTCGCAGTAGAGCGACCACAGGTTTGCTAGGGTGCACTGACATCCCAGAACGCCAAAAGAAAACCACTTTGCAAGTCCCCTCCACAAGAGCCTGTTCGCAGTCCGGGCTACCCGACCGGGTCGTCTGGAGCTTCGGGCTCGGCCTGATGGTCACGTGCTGGGTGGCTTGCTTGAACCTTCGGAGACAAAAACAAACCCAACAAATTGTTTGCCTGGCACACAGGGGCCTCCTGTATGCCAGGGTCGCCAATGGGCTGGGTTTGCTGCGCATGCGAAATCTGAATCAGTCGTCGGCGATTGGAGTGACGGAGTGCAAAGCCACGTGTTTAAAGTAGATCATGCAAGGGTATGCAAGGGTGCTCCGAAACATCGAGCTTGGCCAATTGCATAGTTAAGAACACGAGCATAGGCAAGGAAGTCCTGCCCTCAAAGACGTCGTGAATCTATAGTACATGTCCTCAAGGTTTCCACACACAAGGCCAGGGGACGGGCTGAGGTAAGGATGATGAGCGAGCTGCGGTCGCGATCATTCATATTCAGACGGCAAAAGGCAAAGCTTGACCAATCGAATATGCCAAGACTGAGCTTGTACAGGAACCATGCAACTCCTTGAGCGCGCAGCAGGCTTTTTCTCCTTCTTACCTTCTCCCTGGCGTGGGAAGCCATTTGACGTGGCAGCATTCCATGTCTCTGCTTCTTAAGCTTTCAGTTCCGGTCAGCCCAAAAACCTTCAGGAGCCTGCAAACTGCCTGCCGATCGGCTCAGTGCTGCAATGTGCCAGTCTTTGCATTTGAGCTGGCTGGGAGAGCTGTGCCCTAATCGCGTTGCATGTTGGATAACGGCGACGACCTCTTGTGTTAGGATACAAGCTTGCCTTTAGGGTAATCAACTGGACCCCTGGTCACAAACGACTCAACACGAGGATTGAGTCTGGCTGTGCCTTTCCGCCAGACTTCTTGCCTTTGCCTGGCAATGGTCCAAAATGCTTGAGAGTATCAAAGGGCATCTGCCCAGGGCACCCTTGACCATCCCCACTTCTTCCAAACCAACCGCTGTCAAAAGGATTATTTCTGGGGATGCTTTCAATTCGGAACCAACATGAAACAAATTATTTGGAGGTGTCGCAAGCTCATCTCGACACTTCGCAATTGACTGAATCTGCAAAACAGGCCGGCTGATCCCTCAGCCTCGGACTGTGCACATGTCTTTGCGCGCGCGCGCTCTTACGTCTCCCTCCCCCCCCCCCCCCGGTTTTTAGAAGTGTCGGTGCTCGAATTCGAGCCAGGGTGCCGCCGAGCCAAGGCAACGATCATGATAGCACTCGGCTCAATCTGCCTAGTCCTGTGACAACTCTTCCACACTTGACCTGACCTTTGTGAGCCATGCTGGTAGGGTAATGTTTGCCCGGCCCAAGACACTTGGCCCCCGGTTGGGCCGTGCTGAAGTCACTTCCGGCCTCTGGTAGCCGAATGTTGCGCAGGGTTTGCACCGCCTCAGCGGATCGGCCGGGAAGCCTCCAAGAGGATTGATTGTAATTTTGGGAAAATATGGAAACTACTAAGTTTGCTTTTTAGGTGTTCTTTAGAGAAAGCGCAAGCGATTGCATGTTGCGCTTGACAACCAGAAAAGTTTTGTTCACATACCACGGCTGCATGTTGCCCAGATGTCTCAATCGCGGGGGGCCCGGCCACCACAATCGATGTCTAAAAGGAGCAAAGAAAATGCAAGGGTGTTGGGGTTCCCCTCGTTCATGGCGGGTTTTTCGGCATCCCAAGTCCTCCCTCAGACTAACCGTAGACAAGTCCTCCCGCAGACTAACGATGGTCTACCAAACGCAAATGAATCTGTGTTGACTATGGGAGAACGTGCACAGCGGTAGCAGTGTGCTCCATCTCAGAACCCATTGAGTAGGCAAGTGGCGAATGCACACGTGCAGAAGCGGCAAAACAGCGCAAAACAGTGTGGAACAAGTGAAGGACTAAAACGCAGAATGAACGAATGAACCCTGCAAACACACAAAATAGAACTGGTCAAGGCACGCGGCACTCGTGAGAGGCACAGAAAAACAAGGAGTTCCCTGAGGCCCTGAGGCACGCACATTGGTCAGATCCTTCAGCTTCTTCATTTCCTGCGCAGGCGACGGCTGAATGCGGCTGTAGATATGGTGAAGAGTAAGACTCATGTCAACGACAACTAGAACAGCAGCAAAACTCCGCTTGCACATCACCTGTTCCCTCCAGCAAAATCACATCGCTCCAATAGCACAAGCAAAGCTCAAATTTGAAGCTGGCGTGCAGTCCTCTTGCAGCTTTCGGTTCTCCTCCTCCAGCCGCGTCATGGCCTGCGACCGCGAAAGGCTGCAAAGGATTCGCCGCATTGTTTTTCATTTGGATTAGAGATTGGGGCAATCGCCCACGCCAAGCTTTTGGGGCCTCTCAACAGTCTGGGCCCAGAGGAAAGCACCTATGCACGCTGGCCATGAAAGTGACACCCAGATTGACCTCAAAATGGTTTGAAAACCTAAGGCCAATAAGAACCTCCGAAACGGAATTCGCAAACGGGCTCACGCAAGCCCCAAGAAAGCGATCGAGACAGTCGTGTGCCTTGGAGCTGCCCTTGGGCTTTTCCCCCAGCGCGTCCTGGCCAAGTTGCACAGGTATGCGCCGTATGCACAGGGGAAGTTGGAGATCTGCCGATCTGCCAGTCCTTCAGCCAAGACAGCATCATCTGATGTTGCTTTCCTGAGAAGAAGTGCTGATTCCTCAGTTCGAACAACTTCTTCGCGAATGGAAAAGACGTCAACTCTTGCTCAAGGCTCACCAAGAGCATTTGCCTAACTGCCGCCTGCATAAGTTCAGGGCTGCATCATGCCAAGCAGTGCGACGTAGTCATAGAAGAAGTTGGAATCCTCCTTGTCGTACCTGAGCAAGAACGTGACAAACAAATCTGGAAAATCCGCCGAATCTCTGCCTCCCGTCCCAGCCGACCGGCGTGGGATGCAACTGGAAGTGATTCGAACCAATGATGGTCCCTGGGGGACACGCCCGAAAGCACAAAAAGTGGATTCCCAGGACCGGGACGGTTTCGGCTGACTACAAGTAATCTGAAGCAGCAGAACCAGGGTCCCAGGACCGGTCCTGGGACCCCGGTTTTGGTTTTGTGACCGCTTTCTGTCCAAGCCAGTCCCGGGATCAAGTCCTGGTGTGACCGCTGGTATCAAACCGCTGACACCTGGTGCCACCTCAAACCCTCCAGACACCTGTTTCCTCCAACGGTTGAGGGGCACCGACGGCCTTGTTTCTAGGACCAGCTCAACGTGACTTGGGCGCAAACCGGCCCGCGCGAGCTGCCATCTGTCTGACTTTTCCGTTCATCCTTGTGGTAGTAGAGGATACCTGACGTCGAGTCAAACCGCGCCAGACTGGGACCAGCCTGGACAGGATCCCAAGTCCCGGTCCCTGCCGGCGACCGGTCCAGGGCAACTGTCCCCGGGGCAGTTTCGGGAGGGCCAGTTTCAGGGCGACCCCGGGAGAGGCGACTGCTCCCGGGCCAACTTGAAGTGACTTGGGCGCAAGCCGGCCCAAGCGGTAATTAACGGACTAGCTGCCATATTTCTGACTTTTCCTAGAGGATCTTATAAGTGGTCCCTGGGTTTGCGGACGTGTTTCAGGACCGGTCCTTATGACTTTTCCCTTCATGCGCCGAGGGTCGGCGGCAGCAGGCGGGAGCCTGGTTAATAAAGCATCAGCTAAGGAATTGTTTGAGTTCAAGCCCCCAACTCAGATTCGTGCAGGAAACCAATGAGACGCCGCACGAACCCAAAGCAATGATTCCCTAAACGGCTTCTGCAAATTCAAAACGTCACACATCGGCACAACATTGGCCTGCCAGCTGTGTATGATGCCACCACTTTCTCCACAGCGGCGAAAAGCCTCAGCCAAAAACTCGGCTCATTGGAAAAAACATGCACCATTACTTTCCTTCCTTGCCATGTGGGAATATACAACAATTCTGACGGGGATGGTCTAAGCCACACGCTTTGCTGCCATCTTGTCATCAATGCTCTCCTCCTCTGGCACGTTGAAAGTGGCCTCACTCACACTGAATCAGCCTGCCCAATGCCAATCCCTCGCTCCCTACTAACCTCCACTGATCAAATCCCCCGTCCGTTCACGGAGAATCTGGGGGCCGGTTGCCCAAATACTCTTTGGCGTGCAGTGTCTGGTCGAAATGACCCGCGCCTCGTTCAGCTTGTAAAGATCTTCCGCTTCCAGCTGCTTCTTGTTCGACAGCGTCTGCCAGTTGTGAATTGAACGGCTAGTTGTTTGTGGCTTTTGGGGGCTCGACCTAGCTTCACACAACAAATGGATGAGCCACACGATACAGTACATCATGATTACATCTACTGTCCGAACGGCTTCAGCTTCACTGCGTGTATTCAGACCGCCTGCAGCACTGTCTTCAAGTACATGGCTCCAGGAAACCGCCAGTTTCATCTCAGAGCCACTAATCTTCCGAGAGTTCATAGAGCAGCGCAAGAATTCTCCAAGCCTCTCTCTCTCTCTCAATTGTGCTTGTGTTGGTGGTTGTGTTTGCGCGTGGTGCTGTGTGTCTCTTTGCGTATTTACGTTTTGGGCTTGCGTTTGGGTTTGCGTTTGTGCTTGCTTCTGTTGGTGTTTGTAACTGTAGGTCTCAGTTTAGGTTGGGCATGCACAAGTTTTCACCCGATGAGTCCGCGCCTGGCCTGCTGCATGTATACCTTAGCCATGCCTTTCCTGAACGCCCGCTCGCAGTCCCGGGCAAGATCGGCAGCAACCTCCCTTTTCTTGCCCCTTGCACGAGCGAAGCGTGCGATGCATATTGCAACGGACGGCACTACTCAAAAGATGCCGGCGTTGCTGTTTCAGCAGCCGGCACAAAATACGTCAGAACCACGGCCACCGCGAAAAGGCCGTGTACCATGGTCCCGAGTCAAGCGGCGGGTGAGAAGCGGCAAGCAGCAGGTCAAGCCTCTGTGAAAAGCGTCTGTGATGCACCGGCAATAGGCGGATGCGACCACAAGCACGGGGCAAAGCACTCAACGCAGCTGCTACGTTACCGGTATATGACCAGGGAGTTGCTATGAAGATGAAGGGGCGAAAAGTCACGGCCAAGGTCAAAGGCTGGGTGAAAGCTGAGCCCTGCAGAGCACTATGCAGTAGTCTCACTTCGAGAGAATGCCAAAGGCCTTTTCTCCCATGAGGTCCCCATACTTCTTGGCCTCCGCCTTATCCTCCTCTGAGATGTCGTCAAAGCAGGCGTTGGGCGTGTCGTCCTTGCAGTAGGCAGCCAGGCAACGGGAGATGCCGACGCAGGAGCAGTTGAACTCGCCCACGATCCATTTCTCGTCCTCGGTCTTCGTGCCTTCCGGGGAGGAGTTGATGAAGTCAGTGGTCCACCACAGAGGCACGGGCTCCTCGGCCAAATCCAGCGCAGGCATGACGTGCGGCAGGTCCTTCTTCAGGAAGTTCGTGGTCAGGTTCTCGAAGAGCTTCTCCTCAGGACCATAGTAGGTGTAGGTGGAACCGGTTCCACCCACTGCAGAGATTCCTCCCTCCTTGGGCTTCTTGTGGATAATGCCCACCAGGGAATCCACAATCAGGTTGTAGCGCAGCTCACCTGGCGGCTTCTGCACTTTCTAAGACGTGATTCTGCTTTCACGATGTGTCTCTGCCATGCTATGATCTTGCGTACCTTGTGTTGACATGCCACACCTTGCCATAACCAACCGTACAAACCGAACACGAACCCCACCACGCGGCACCTTCCACGATACGTGGACAGAAGCGCTGATCCACAAGCTGGCCACCTGCGTCTTTGCCGCCCTCCAAGTACTTGCCCACGCCCTTGGAGGTCCATTCTCCGGACTTATCGTTGCGGCCACTTACGCAGAACTCGACGAACTCTGCCACGGTATGCTCCTCCTCGTGGTTGTCGTTGGCCTCCATCAAGGACAGCTTCTCGCCATCCTCGCAGCAGCGCTCGCCGTACTCCTTGCAGTAGTTGCCGTCCTTCAACTTGATGATCCAGATGCCCTCACCGGAGGAGCCGCGGTTCTGCTTGATCACGCGCGGCTGAAACGCCATGGTCTTCTTGAAGCCAGCCGCCTTCAGTCCGGGAGTCCGCACATGACCACTGACCACCCTCGTGCAAAAAAACACAAGATACTCCCTGAACAAAAAACATCGCAAGCCGAGGTCACGACAAATTCTTCGGGCGAGTAGTACGCCAGGGTGTCTTCCAAGCCGATATTCAGCGTGGCCACCTTTCCGTTCGTGCGCTAGGTGGTTGAGTCTTAGCCAATTGTTCCCCCGCAGTCACGACACCCTACAAAGCAAAGCGGCACGATCAAAAGCAAAGCACGTGTGCAAGCAAAAGCAGAAGCGCATGTGGACAGGTGGGGACCCTGCATCCAACGCGACTGCCTCCTAGCCCCGCAAGCCCAACAAACGCTGCCTTGCACAGCGCATCCTTGGCACCCATCTTCTCCATGACATCCGGGGAAGGCCAGACCTCCCCAACAGCTTGTCCAATTTCAAGCAAGGATAAGCATCCCAAACGCACACTCCCTGCCAAGAACTGCCAAGAACATGCAACACCTTCAGAACTGGCTCAGAGAGGCCACGCACACAATATGCACACAATAGACAAAGCATCCAAATCATGCTCAGTGAATTTCTGACAGGGGCCCTCAACTCCTCATTGACTCCGCCTGGATGCCGGTCTTGCGCAAGGCCCGCATGCCGTCATCAAACTTCTGCTGGTCGCCCCCATCAGCCTTGATCTGGCCTGCCAACAGCGCTGTGTGGTTCTTGTATGCGCGGCTCCCCGTTTGCTCCCCAGCTCGATGAGACAAAATGAAGCCCTCGCCCCTATGCCATCCGTGCTTTTTGGCGAGGATCATTCAGCCCCAGCCCGAGCCCCACCCTGGCCTGGATTGCACCGCACGATGATGAAGTTGAAACTCTTGCACACATCGAAGAAAGTCTCATGCTCCTCGTGCGTGTAGTGGATCCTTGTGACAAATACGAAGGGTGTCATCCATCTTCCCGCATCAGGACATGTTGTGGTACCTGGTACTGCAACTAACATGCCAGCCGTGCAGTTGGCAGCTCATCCCGGAGGTGATCATGCCGTTCGCAAACGGCACCGAGTCATACCGATGACCTGAGCCCAAACCTGCCTTGTGCTTGCCATGCCTATCTATATCTACCGTATATCTAAGCCAACCTGGTCCCATGTTGCCGAAGGTTCATTGCGAGCATTCAAATCGAGACTGCACAGCTTGCGGCAACAGGAATTTCCGATTGGACGGGGAGGCCTGAGCACCCCGCCATTGTTGCTCTTGTCCGAGCCTGGCACCGTCACTAGCTCATGCCACACAAAACAGAATGCCACGCTAAGGGAATCAGTGAAACGAGCGAGTCCTAAAAGGAAGCGAGGCACCCTGGAAGAGCTGATACCCCCAATGAGTCTGGGTCCAAATTGCGGGCCTCCGTAGGGCTGACTCCGAACGAAGATCTGGCACAAGGCGCCCTTGAACTTGGGCTCCTTTGGCTGATCCGTGAGGCCCTTGTAGTCCTCGCATCCAGCTTGAGCCCTGACTTTCAGTGTCATATTGTTTCTCCACTGGGTTGCTCTGTTCAAGACAAGGCGTGAGCCTTGGCCACCACCGTGATGCGGCCACAGTCCACAGGGCCGGGGCAAGGGCCTAGTCAAAAGAACCACGCCACCCGTGTAGATGTCATCACAAAGGCGGGCATGTCAAACATGGAGTCTCCGGTCAAGGCCCCCTCCCCGCCCTACCCAACGCCTGAGCCAGCAGCTGGGCCTGCAGTAAAGTGACGCGCAAAAAACGAAGCCCTCATATCCTCTGCCTCCGCCTCTTAGTCTGTTTCCTACGTCTACCTTGCCTCACCTCGCCTGCGCCTGCACAACCCTGCGCAACCCTGCGCAACCCTGCGCAACCCTGCCTGCAAGGGCCTCCTTCAGCTTGCTCAGCTGTTCTGCAGGCAGCTCCTGTCAAAATCGGGGCGCGAAAGCCAGACGCTGCTAGGGCCCAACGCGCGCGTCAGGCGTCCTTCAGAGCGCCAGCAAGTTCCTCCGCAGACTTGGCCTGGACCTCATTCTTGATCTCGGTGGATGCTGCAGACCTGGGTCATTCGAGTCGAAGTCAAGAGGTGCAAACAGGAGGTGTTTAACAATGCATTCCAAGCCTGCGTGAACATTAATGTGACAGCAAACCAAAACATCTCTAAAGCGATCGACGAAAGGCCAGCAGTCTGGACATCGTACTAGAACTTGCAACAGCCTTGGCAACGGCGCTATATGCAAACAAAATGCCCCATCGCTGACACAGACGCGAGTCAAAATTCTGAGCCGCTTCTTGCTGAGGTGCAGCCCATGCAATACAACCCCCCACGAGTACAGCCTTTGGCCAATGAGTCCACACCTAGCTGCAAAGCTCAAGCTTTCAGCTAATTCAGTCTGAACGTGAGCACATGCTCTGAATGATAATGGGCATGCAGCCAGCCATGAAAAGCGCTCGGGCAACGCCTCAAGCTGTCAAACCTCAAGCTGTGAAACCACACTCCCATCCAAGACGTGACGCTGCGATGTCTAAGCCGCCCCTTTGCCCCGTGCACGAGCGAAGCGTGCGATGCATGTTGCAACGGACGGCACTACTCAAAGATGACGGCGTTGCTGTTTCAGCAGCCGGCACAAAACACGTCAGAACCACGGCCACCGCGAAAAGGCCGTGTACCATGGTCCCGAGTCAAGCGGCGGGTGAGAAGCGGCAAGCAGCAGGTCAAGCCTCTGTGAAAAGCGTCTGTGATGCACCGGCAATAGGCGGATGCGACCACAAACACGGGGCAAAGCACTCAACGCAGCTGCTACGTTACCGGTATATGACCAGGGAGTTGCTATGAAGATGCAGGGGGCGAAAAGTCACGGCCAAGGTCAAAGGCTGGGTGAAAGCTGAGCCCTGCAGAGCACTATGCAGTAGTCTCACTTCGAGAGAATGCCAAAGGCCTTTTCTCCCATGAGGTCCCCATACTTCTTGGCCTCCGCCTTATCCTCCTCTGAGATGTCGTGAAAGCAGGCGTTGGGCGTGTCGTCCTTGCAGTAGGCAGCCAGGCAACGGGAGATGCCGACGCAGGAGCAGTTGAACTCGCCCACGATCCATTTCTCGTCCTCGGTCTTCGTGCCTTCCGGGGAGGAGTTGATGAAGTCAGTGGTCCACCACAGAGGCACGGGCTCCTCGGCCAAATCCAGCGCAGGCATGACGTGCGGCAGGTCCTTCTTCAGGAAGTTCGTGGTCAGGTTCTCGAAGAGCTTCTCCTCAGGACCATAGTAGGTGTAGGTGGAACCGGTTCCACCCACTGCAGAGATTCCTCCCTCCTTGGGCTTCTTGTGGATAATGCCCACCAGGGAATCCACAATCAGGTTGTAGCGCAGCTCACCTGGCGGCTTCTGCACTTTCTAAGACGTGATTCTGCTTTCACGATGTGTCTCTGCCGTGCTATGATCTTGCGTGCCTTGTGTTGACATGCCACACCTTGCCATAACCAACCGTACAAACCGAACACGAACCCCACCACGCGGCACCTTCCACGATACGTGGACAGAAGCGCTGATCCACAAGCTGGCCACCTGCGTCTTTGCCGCCCTCCAAGTACTTGCCCACGCCCTTGGAGGTCCATTCTCCGGACTTATCGTTGCGGCCACTTACGCAGAACTCGACGAACTCTGCCACGGTATGCTCCTCCTCGTGGTTGTCGTTGGCCTCCATCAAGGACAGCTTCTCGCCATCCTCGCAGCAGCGCTCGCCGTACTCCTTGCAGTAGTTGCCGTCCTTCAACTTGATGATCCAGATGCCCTCACCGGAGGAGCCGCGGTTCTGCTTGATCACGCGCGGCTGAAACGCCATGGTCTTCTTGAAGCCAGCCGCCTTCAGTCCGGGAGTCCGCACATGACCACTGACCACCCTCGTGCAAAAAAACACAAGATACTCCCTGAACAAAAAACATCGCAAGCCGAGGTCACGACAAATTCTTCGGGCGAGTAGTACGCCAGGGTGTCTTCCAAGCCGATATTCAGCGTGGCCACCTTTCCGTTCGTGCGCTAGGTGGTTGAGTCTTAGGAAATTGTTCCCCCGCAGTCACGACACCCCAAAGCAAAGCGGCACGATCAAAAGCAAAGCACGTGTGCAAGCAAAAGCAGAAGCGCATGTGGACAGGCACGGGCAAAAAGCACATGTGGGGAAGCCCTGTCCAACGTGACTGCCCCCAGCCCTGCGAGCCCGCAAACGCTGCCTTGCACAGCGCATCCTTGGCACCCATCTTCTCCATGACATCCGGGGAAGGCCAGACCTGCCCAAATGCTTGTCCAATTTCAAGCGTCATCAAACGCTACAATCGCTCACAAGGGTAAGCATCCCAAACGCCCACTCGATGCCAAGAACTGCCAAAAACATGCAACACCTTCCCAGCCACCCAGCTCGCAGAGAACACGCCCAATTTGAACAGACTTGAACAAGCATCCATGCAAATGTCTGACACACGCGCCCTCAACTCGTCACTGACATCGCCTGGATACCGGTCTTGCGTAAGGCGCGCATGCCATCATCAAACTTCTGCTGGTCGCCTCCATCAGCCTTGATCTGGCCTGCCAAGAGCAGGGTTTGGTTGTCATATGTCAAAGTCTTTTCCCGCGAGCGACGCAAACTAGTCCTGCCACTCAAACCTGACACGTCGTTACTAGGAAATAGATTCTGATACACTCACTGCTCAGCTGTTCTTCTCCAGAATCGTGAGTTGCAGCTTGCGAATGGTCGACATGTGCTTGGGTCTGCCGTTTTTTCGCCAGGAAAGGGAGGAAGCCAAAGGCCCCCCAGAACAAGTGCGGAGAGCACAAAGTGAAGATTGAGGTAGCCAAAATGCACTTTGCATCTGTGGACCATTTACACGCTGTAACTCAACCACCATCCTGGAAAAGTAAAGCTGAGCAGCGAGGGGAAGGTAGGGCGCTGGTCATGCAGCCCTAAAATATATCCAAACCGAATGTGTATCCTTCGCGGTTTGATTCAGCTAGAGAAGACGCACTTGCGTCGCGGAAAATGTCACAAGATACTGCCTCACCATTGCAAAACCCTTGCTGGGGCGTGGTATTTGCATGCTCCTCTGTTCCTGAACTGGCAAAGCTGCCTTTTGCACTTTTGGCCCTCCCCCCAGTGGCCTGGATTGCAACGCACGATAATGAAGTTGAAATTCTTGCACACATCGAAGAAAGTCTCATGCTCCTCGTGCGTGTAGTGAATCCTGGCAACGGATACGGAGTGCGATCCATCGTCCCACATGCTTTGGCAATGCAATTCACATGCCGGTCGGGCAGTTGACAGCTCATGCCAGAGGTGATCATGCCATTTGCAAACGGCACCGAGTCGTACCGATGACCTCAGCAAAGACTGCCCTTGCGCTTGTCGACTATTCCCAATCTGTCAGCTCCTATGCACTGAGCGTGGACCGGCATGCATGTGTTCCTGAGCAACGACAACATGATCTCCAAGAATGGGATGTACAGCCACGATATGGAGGGTTTGTTCACCACTTTCTCATGAGGGACGTGGTTTGGGGGCAGCGGAGGCTATCTTAGATTACCATACTTATGCTGCACTTATGCTGGTCGCTTGTGTCATGGTGATGTTGCATATATGCACAAAACTGGCCCTGCTATGAGGAGAAAATGCGTCATTTAGTCTGTTCCATCTTCGAGAATCCTCTGGAGAAAGGCAAGTGGCGTCTGTTCATATGTAGAGCATTGGGGCATCCTCGACGACACCTTGTCCTTTGATTCAATCCCATGACGGTGTGGCACCAAAAAGGATTCTTACAAGCCAATGACGAGGCCGCACCTCTTGACACCAGATTAAGAAGTCCAGCTTAGTACTTGAGGAGCGGGTGAACGAAAGCTAGCAGTTGTTGCATGAGATGGGTCGGTGACAGAGTGGATTCATAGGTAGCTTGTGTACAACGAGAGGCCCGGCAAGATTCGTAGGATGCGACACGCAAACGCACATGGTGGCGTGGCAAACCTTGAAAAATGAAAACAATGAGAGGCGTCAGAAGCTGTCTTAAAGCACCTCTGGGTTCTGCATGCAGCGTGTGCAAAGATTCTTGCGAGGTGGCTTACCGAGAAGACTGAGGTCTCAAATGAACAAGCTGAATCGGTGGAACATGTAAAAGTTCGTAGCACCAAGTCCAAAACGGGCAAACCGAGACTGCTGAACACTGAGCCACTGCCCGGGGGGGGGGATGGACCAGGGAGGAATCGAGCCTGAGACCCGGGGGGGGGGAGGGGGGGGGGGGGTCTAAATAATTGATGTTTTTCAATCTTTTCGGCTCAAATAATTGAAAAAATCAATCTTTCGGCATTTGAGCCCCTTACCTTGCTTACGCAAGGAGAAACTTCAGCTAGCTAAAGCTAGCTTTCGTGATTAGGGGTGAGCTTCCCCCCGAAGTGAGGAGATTGTTCTCTAAACTGGGGCCCGGCTCTTTCACTGTACATTTCAGATCGCATGGTCGGTTTTCCCCGCCGTTGGAATAGCATGACAATGAGTTCACAGCAGCCCTCCATTAAAGGGCGACATCTTGTCCAGGTAACGCAGAGAGCCGAGCACCCCGCCATTGTTGCTCTTGTCCGAGCCTGGCACCGTCACTGGCAAGGCTCACAGCAAAGAAATAAGGGAATCAGTCAAACGAGCGAGTCCTAAAAGGAAGCGAGGCACCCTGGAAGAGCTGATACCCCCAATGAGTCTGGGTCCAAATTGCGGGCCTCCGTAGGGCTGACTCCGAACGAAGATCTGGCACAAGGCGCCCTTGAACTTGGGCTCCTTTGGCTGCTCCATGAGGCCCTTGTAGTCCTTGCGTGTCATCAACACGTGCACCTCCATTTGTTTCATTCTGCAAAGCTTGCCCAAGTCGCACTCACGTTTCCTTGGCCACAACGGAGATCTTGCCGCAGTCAACTGGTCCCGGGCAAGGACCTAAAGAACACCAAGGCACAAAATCACAAGCTCGTGCCACACATACAATCAGACGAGGCAAAATGAGCAAACCAGCCCAACATGGAAGACTAACCCCCATGGAAAATCGCAAACTACTCCTCGATTGCCTTCGCCAAGACCAGGTAAGAAGGGCCAGCCGCGGTATCCCGAACGCTGCGACAAAGATTCGATCGCAAACTCAGGCGGGTGCCAGAGGAGCCGCCTGGCGCAGGCACGGACCAGAAATCGCAGTCCAACTCCCTTTTTGCACGGGCCATCATGGGCCATCACGGGCCATGGGCATTGCACTGCCTTGTGACGAGACAACATGTTTGGCGCAGAAAATGGTCGGACGGGCGCGCCATCCAAAGCGGATTTGATCTTGGTGAGTTGATCTGTGGGAAGCTCCTGGCCGCATGTGCATCCAATGCTCACACACTGGACCAAACTCTCATTTGGTTGGGAATGCTCTGCAGACCTCTCCTTCAGAGCAGCAACGATCTCTTCAGTCGACTTGCCCTCCATGGCATTCTTCACATCGGTAGAGGCAGCGCTCCTCACACGGTGGCACTGATGGTGACCCACACTCCCCACAAGCAATGGAAGTTTGATGAAAATGTAAGGCTACCCAAGGAAACAAGACTTCAAGACTTGGCAACAGCGCTATATGCAAACAAGATGCCCCATCGCTGACAGAGACGCAAGTCAAATTCTGAGCCGCTTCTTGCTGAGGTGCAGCCCATGCAATACAACCCCCCAACAGTACAGCCTTTGGCCAATGAGTCCACACCTAGCTGCAAAGCTCAAGCTTTCAGCTAATTCAGTCTGAACGTGAGCACGTGCTCTGAACGATAATACCAGCAAGCCGTCCAGCCTCCGTCAAACCCAACGCTAACCTATGCGGAGCCTCCCTTCTGCCGCGTGCACGAGCGAAGCGTGCGATGCATATTGCAATGGACGGCACTACTCAAAGATGCCGGCGTTGCTGTTTCAGCAGCCGGCACAAAATGCGTCAGAACCACGGCCACCGCGAAAAGGCCGTGTGCCATGGTCCCGAGTCAAGCGGCGGGTGAGAAGCGGCAAGCAGCAGGTCAAGCCTCTGTGAAAAGCGTCTGTGATGCACCGGCAATAGGCGGATGCGACCACGAACACGGGGCAAAGCACTCAACGCAGCTGCTACGTTGCCGGTATATGACCAGGGAGTTGCTATGAAGATGAAGGGGCGAAAAGTCACGGCCAAGGTCAAAGGCTGGGTGAAAGCTGAGCCCTGCAGAGCACTATGCAGTAGTCTCACTTCGAGAGAATGCCAAAGGCCTTTTCTCCCATGAGGTCCCCATACTTCTTGGCCTCCGCCTTATCCTCCTCTGAGATGTCGTGAAAGCAGGCGTTGGGCGTGTCGTCCTTGCAGTAGGCAGCCAGGCAACGGGAGATGCCGACGCAGGAGCAGTTGAACTCGCCCACGATCCATTTCTCGTCCTCGGTCTTCGTGCCTTCCGGGGAGGAGTTGATGAAGTCAGTGGTCCACCACAGAGGCACGGGTTCCTCGGCCAAATCCAGCGCAGGCATGACGTGCGGCAGGTCCTTCTTCAGGAAGTTCGTGGTCAGGTTCTCGAAGAGCTTCTCCTCAGGACCATAGTAGGTGTAGGTGGAACCGGTTCCACCCACTGCAGAGATTCCTCCCTCCTTGGGCTTCTTGTGGATAATGCCCACCAGGGAATCCACAATCAGGTTGTAGCGCAGCTCACCTGGCGGCTTCTGCACTTTCTAAGACGTGACTCTGCTTTCACGATGTTTCTCTGCCGTGCTATGATCTTGCGTGCCTTGTGTTGACATGCCACACCTTGCCATAACCAACCGTACAAACCGAACACGAACCCCACCACGCGGCACCTTCCACGATACGTGGACAGAAGCGCTGATCCACAAGCTGGCCACCTGCGTCTTTGCCGCCCTCCAAGTACTTGCCCACGCCCTTGGAGGTCCATTCTCCGGACTTATCGTTGCGGCCACTTACGCAGAACTCGACGAACTCTGCCACGGTATGCTCCTCCTCGTGGTTGTCGTTGGCCTCCATCAAGGACAGCTTCTCGCCATCCTCGCAGCAGCGCTCGCCGTACTCCTTGCAGTAGTTGCCGTCCTTCAACTTGATGATCCAGATGCCCTCACCGGAGGAGCCGCGGTTCTGCTTGATCACGCGCGGCTGAAACGCCATGGTCTTCTTGAAGCCAGCCGCCTTCAGTCCGGGAGTCCGCACATGACCACTGACCACCCTCGTGCAAAAAAACACAAGATACTCCCTGAACAAAAAACATCGCAAGCCGAGGTCACGACAAATTCTTCGGGCGAGTAGTACGCCAGGGTGTCTTCCAAGCCGATATTCAGCGTGGCCACCTTTCCGTTCGTGCGCTAGGTGGTTGAGTCTTAGGCAATTGTTCCCCCGCAGTCACGACACCCTACAAAGCAAAGCGGTGGCACGATCAAAAGCAAAGCACGTGTGCAAGCAAAAGCAGAAGCGCATGTGGACAGGCACGGGGACTGCCCCCAGCCCTGCGAGCCCGCAAACGCTGCCTTGCACAGCGCATCCTTGGCACCCATCTTCTCCATGACATCCGGGGAAGGCCAGACCTGCCCAAATGCTTGTCCAATTTCAATCGTCATCAAACGCTACAATCGCTCACAAGGGTAAGCATCCCAAACGCACACTCGATGCCAAGAACTGCCAAAAACATACAACACCTTCCCAGCCACCCAGCTCGGAGAGTACACGCCCAATTTGAACAGACTTGAACAAGCATCCATGCAAATGTCTGACACACGCGCCCTCAACTCGTCACTGACATCGCCTGGATACCGGTCTTGCGTAAGGCGCGCATGCCACCATCAAACTTCTGCTGGTCGCCTCCATCAGCCTTGATCTGGCCTGCCAAGAGCAGGGTTTGGTTGTCATATGGGCATGTATAAAACCCCCCATCCTTTCCCTACTACTTGTTTGACGTTATCGGTTTTTTCCTCCTTATCGTTTTACAACGTTTTCCTCAACTTGGCAAATCAAGCTCGAGAATCAAAACTTTTCAGTACAAGTGTAGTACGCGAAGTACACTTCCGCAGCTCCAGCTGCAACATCGCAACTTTGTAGTACACGTGTAGCACTCGAAGTACACTTCCGCAGCTCCAGCTCCAAAATCACAACTTTGTAGTACAACTGTAGTAAACGAAATACACTTCCGCAGCTCCAGCTCGAAATCGCAACTTTTCAGTACAAGCGTAGTACGTGAAGTACATCTCCGCAGCTCCAGCTGGAAAATCGCACCTTTGTGGTACAAGTGTAGTACGCGAAGTACACTTCCGCAGCTCCAGCTCCAAAATCGCAACTTTGTAGTACACGTGTAGCACGCAAAGTACACTTCCGCAGCTCCAGCTCGAAAGGCGCAACTGTGTAGCACACGTGTAGCACGAAAAGTACACTTCCGCAGCTCCAGCTCCAAAATCGCAACTTTGTAGTACAAGTGTAGTAAACAAAATACACTTCCTCAGCTCCAGCTCGAAATCGCAACTTTTCAGTACAAGCGTAGTGAACGAAGTACATTTCCGCAGCTCCAGCTCCAAAATCGCAACTTTGTAGTACACGTGTAGCACGCGAAGTACACTTTCGCAGCTCCAGCTCGAAAGGCGCAACTGTGTAGCACACGTGTAGCACGAAAAGTACACTTCCGCAGCTCCAGCTCCAAAATCGCAACTTTGTAGTACAACTGTAGTAAACAAAATACACTTCCTCAGCTCCAGCTCGAAATCGCAACTTTTCAGTACAAGCGTAGTGAACGAAGTACATTTCCGCAGCTCCAGCTCGAAAATCGCAACTTTGTAGTACACTTGTAGTACGCGAAGTGTAGTACGCGGAGCACACTTCCGCAGCTCCAGCTGCAGATTGTCAAGTCTAGTTCTACAAAACGTTATCCTTTTTTTTCCTCCTTATCGTTTTACAGGATTTTGGGAGACCTCACCACAAAAAGTCCCACCCTGACTAAACTGCCAATTGGGGGGGGGTATTATACAAGCCCATATGTCAAAGTCTTTTCCCGCGACGCAAAAAAGTCCTGCCACTCAAACCTGACACGTCGTTACTAGGAAATAGATTCTGATACACTCACTGCTCAGCTGTTCTTCTCCAGAATCGTGAGTTGCAGCTTGCGAATGGTCGACATGTGCTTGGGTCTGCCGTTTTTTCGCCAGGAAAGGGAGGAAGCCAAAGGCCCCCCAGAACAAGTGCGGAGAGCACAAAGTGAAGATTGAGGTAGCCAAAATGCACTTTGCATCTGTGGACCATTTACACGCTGTAACTCAACCACCATCCTGGAAAAGTAAAGCTGAGCAGCGAGGGGAAGGTAGGGCGCTGGTCATGCAGCCCTAAAATATATCCAAACCGAATGTGTATCCTTCGCGGTTTGATTCAGCTAGAGAAGACGCACTTGCGTCGCGGAAAATGTCACAAGATACTGCCTCACCATTGCAAAACCCTTGCTGGGGCGTGGTATTTGCATGCTCCTCTGTTCCTGAACTGGCAAAGCTGCCTTTTGCACTTTTGGCCCTCCCCCCAGTGGCCTGGATTGCAACGCACGATAATGAAGTTGAAATTCTTGCACACATCGAAGAAAGTCTCATGCTCCTCGTGCGTGTAGTGAATCCTGGCAACGGATACGGAGTGCGATCCATCGTCCCACATGCTTTGGCAATGCAATTCACATGCCGGTCGGGCAGTTGACAGCTCATGCCAGAGGTGATCATGCCATTTGCAAACGGCACCGAGTCGTACCGATGACCTCAGCAAAGACTGCCCTTGCGCTTGTCGACTATTTGCATGTGTTCCCGAGCAACGACAACATGATCTCCAAAATGGTTTCCCCGCCCAAACCATTACATCCAAGGCTTGAATGGAGGGTATGTGCCCCACTTTCTCATGAGGGAAGTGGTTTGGGGGCAGCGGAGACTATCTTAGATTTCCCTACTTATGCGCAAGAATCCTCTGAAGAAAAGCAAGTGGCGGCTTGTGTTCATATGTAGAGCATTGGGGCATCCTCAACACCGTGTCCATTGGTTCTTACAAGCCAATGACGAGGGTCGCCCGAAGGCAGTGGGTCAGCAGTTATGGACTGCCATGAGTCGGTCTCTGCCACCCAGGTTTGCCACTAAAAAGAAAGCTGGTCAAATGGTCGGATTGTGCAGCTTCCTTTTGCAACCATGAAAGCCCGACCCCAGCCAAACCTCTTGACACCAGATTAAGAAGTCCAGCTTAGTATTAGGGGTGAGCTTCCCCCCGAAGTGAGGAGATTGTTCTCTAAACTGGGGCCCGGCTCTTTCACTGTACATTTCAGATCGCATGGTCGGTTTTCCCCGCCGTTGGAATAGCATGACAATGAGTTCACAGCAGCCCTCCATTGAAGGGCGACATCTTGTCCAGGTAACGCAGAGAGCCGAGCACCCCGCCATTGTTGCTCTTGTCCGAGCCTGGCACCGTCACTGGCAAGGCTCACAGCAAAGAAATAAGGGAATCAGTGAAACGAGCGAGTCCTAAAAGGAAGCGAGGCACCCTGGAAGAGCTGATACCCCCAATGAGTCTGGGTCCAAATTGCGGGCCTCCGTAGGGCTGACTCCGAACGAAGATCTGGCACAAGGCGCCCTTGAACTTGGGCTCCTTTGGCTGCTCCCTGAGGCCCTTGTAGTCCTTGCGTGTCATCAACACGTGCACCTCCATTTGTTTCATTCTGCAAAGCTTGCCCAAGTCGCACTCACGTTTCCTTGGCCACAACGGAGATCTTGCCGCAGTCAACTGGTCCCGGGCAAGGACCTAAAGAACACCAAGGCACAAAATCACAAGCTCGTGCCACACATACAATCAGACGAGGCAAAATGAGCAAACCAGCCCAACATGGAAGACTAACCCCCATGGAAAATCTCAAACTACTCCTCGATTGCCTTCGCCAAGACCAGGTAAGAAGGGCCAGCCGCGGTATCCCGAACGCTGCGACAAAGATTCGATCGCAAACTCAGGCGGGTGCCAGAGGAGCCGCCTGGCGCAGGCACGGACCAGAAATCGCAGTCCAACTCCCTTTTTGCACGGGCCATCATGGGCCATCACGGGCCATGGGCATTGCACTGCCTTGTGACGAGACAACATGTTTGGCGCAGAAAATGGTCGGACGGGCGTGCCATCCAAAGCGGATTTGATCTTGGTGAGTTGATCTGTGGGAAGCTCCTGGCCGCATGTGCATCCAATGCTCACACACTGGACCAAACTCTCATTTGGTTGGGAATGCTCTGCAGACCTCTCCTTCAGAGCAGCAACGATCTCTTCAGTCGACTTGCCCTCCATGGCATTCTTCACATCGGTAGAGGCAGCGCTCCTCACACGGTGGCACTGATGGTGACCCACACTCCCCACAAGCAATGGAAGTTTGATGAAAATGTAAGGCTACCCAAGGAAACACGACTTCAAGACTTGGCAACAGCGCTATATGCAAACAAGATGCCCCATCGCTGACAGAGACGCAAGTCAAATTCTGAGCCGCTTCTTGCTGAGGTGCAGCCCATGCAATACAACCCCCACTTTGGCCAATGAGTCCACACCTTGCTGCAAAGCTCAAGTGCTCTGAACGATAATGGGCATGCAGCCAGGCATGAAGCCAAGCACTCCACCAGCAAGCCCCAGCCTCCGTCAAACCCAACGCCAACCTATGCGGAGCCTCCCTTCTGCCGCGTGCACGAGCGAAGCGTGCGATGCATATTGCAATGGACGGCACTACTCAAAGATGCCGGCGTTGCTGTTTCAGCAGCCGGCACAAAATTCGTCAGAACCACGGCCACCGCGAAAAGGCCGTGTGCCATGGTCCCGAGTCAAGCGGCGGGTGAGAAGCGGCAAGCAGCAGGTCAAGCCTCTGTGAAAAGCGTCTGTGATGCACCGGCAATAGGCGGATGCGACCACGAACACGGGGCAAAGCACTCAACGCAGCTGCTACGTTGCCGGTATATGACCAGGGAGTTGCTATGAAGATGCAGGGGGCGAAAAGTCACGGCCAAGGTCAAAGGCTGGGTGAAAGCTGAGCCCTGCAGAGCACTATGCAGTAGTCTCACTTCGAGAGAATGCCAAAGGCCTTTTCTCCCATGAGGTCCCCATACTTCTTGGCCTCCGCCTTGTCCTCCTCTGAGATGTCGTCAAAGCAGGCGTTGGGCGTGTCGTCCTTGCAGTAGGCAGCCAGGCAACGGGAGATGCCGACGCAGGAGCAGTTGAACTCGCCCACGATCCATTTCTCGTCCTCGGTCTTCGTGCCTTCCGGGGAGGAGTTGATGAAGTCAGTGGTCCACCACAGAGGCACGGGCTCCTCGGCCAAATCCAGCGCAGGCATGACGTGCGGCAGGTCCTTCTTCAGGAAGTTCGTGGTCAGGTTCTCGAAGAGCTTCTCCTCAGGACCATAGTAGGTGTAGGTGGAACCGGTTCCACCCACTGCAGAGATTCCTCCCTCCTTGGGCTTCTTGTGGATAATGCCCACCAGGGAATCCACAATCAGGTTGTAGCGCAGCTCACCTGGCGGCTTCTGCACTTTCTAAGACGTGATTCTGCTTTCACGATGTTTCTCTGCCGTGCTATGATCTTGCGTGCCTTGTGTTGACATGCCACACCTTGCCATAACCAACCGTACAAACCGAACACGAACCCCACCACGCGGCACCTTCCACGATACGTGGACAGAAGCGCTGATCCACAAGCTGGCCACCTGCGTCTTTGCCGCCCTCCAAGTACTTGCCCACGCCCTTGGAGGTCCATTCTCCGGACTTATCGTTGCGGCCACTTACGCAGAACTCGACGAACTCTGCCACGGTATGCTCCTCCTCGTGGTTGTCGTTGGCCTCCATCAAGGACAGCTTCTCGCCATCCTCGCAGCAGCGCTCGCCGTACTCCTTGCAGTAGTTGCCGTCCTTCAACTTGATGATCCAGATGCCCTCACCGGAGGAGCCGCGGTTCTGCTTGATCACGCGCGGCTGAAACGCCATGGTCTTCTTGAAGCCAGCCGCCTTCAGTCCGGGAGTCCGCACATGACCACTGACCACCCTCGTGCAAAAAAACACAAGATACTCCCTGAACAAAAAACATCGCAAGCCGAGGTCACGACAAATTCTTCGGGCGAGTAGTACGCCAGGGTGTCTTCCAAGCCGATATTCAGCGTGGCCACCTTTCCGTTCGTGCGCTAGGTGGTTGAGTCTTAGGAAATTGTTCCCCCGCAGTCACGACACCCCAAAGCAAAGCGGCACGATCAAAAGCAAAGCACGTGTGCAAGCAAAAGCAGAAGCGCATGTGGACAGGCACGGGCAAAAAGCACATGTGGGGAAGCCCTGTCCAACGTGACTGCCCCCAGCCCTGCGAGCCCGCAAACGCTGCCTTGCACAGCGCATCCTTGGCACCCATCTTCTCCATGACATCCGGGGAAGGCCAGACCTGCCCAAATGCTTGTCCAATTTCAAGCGCCATCAAACGCTACAATCGCTCACAAGGATAAGCAAAGAACAGCCACACACACACACAATATGCACAGAATAGAAAAAGCATCCAAATCATGCTCAGTGAATTTCTGACAGGGGCCCTCAACTCCTCATTGACTCCGCCTGGATGCCGGTCTTGCGCAAGGCCCGCATGCCGTCATCAAACTTCTGCTGGTCTCCCCCATCAGCCTTGATCTGGCCTGCCAACAGCGCTGTGTGGTTCTCGTATGCTCAGCTCCCCGTTTGCTGCCCCCGCTCCAAAAGCGACTCTGATGCGCGATGAGCCTCGCCCTATGGCCAGCCGTGCTTGTGGGAAACGCAAACTAGTCCTGCCATTCAAACCTGACACGTCGTCACTAAAAAATAGATTCTGATATACTCACTGCTCAGCTGTTCTTCTCCAGAATCGTGAGTTGCAGCTTGCGAATGGTCGACATGTGCTTGGGTCTGCCGTTTTTTCGCCAGGAAAGGGAGGAAGCCAAAGGCCCCCCAAAACAAGTGCGGAGAGCACAAAGTGAAGATTGAGGTAGCCAAAATGCACTTTGCATCTGTGGACCATTTACACGCTGTAACTCAACCACCATCCTGGAAAAGTAAAGCTGAGCAGCGAGGGGAAGGTAGGGCGCTGGTCATGCAGCCCTAAAATATCTCCAAACCGAATGTGTATCCTTCGCGGTTTGATTCAGCTAGAGAAGACGCACTTGCGTCGCGGAAAATGTAACAAGATACTGCCTCTCCATTGCAAAACCCTTGCTGGGGCGTGGTATTTGCATGCTCCTCTGTTCCTGAACTGGCAAAGCTGCCTTTTGCACTTTTGGCCCTCCCCCCAGTGGCCTGGATTGCAACGCACGATAATGAAGTTGAAATTATTGCACACATCGAAGAAAGTCTCATGCTCCTCGTGCGTGTAGTGAATCCTGGCAACGGATACGGAGTGCGATCCATCGTCCCACATGCTTTGGCAATGCAATTCACATGCCGGTCGGGCAGTTGACAGCTCATGCCAGAGGTGATCATGCCATTTGCAAACGGCACCGAGTCGTACCGATGACCTCCGCAAAGACTGCCCTTGCGCTTGTCGACTATTTGCATGTGTTCCCGAGCAACGACAACATGATCTCCAAAATGGTTTCCCTGCCCAAACCATTACATCCAAGGCTTGAATGGAGGGTATGTGCCCCACTTTCTCATGAGGGAAGTGGTTTGGGGGCAGCGGAGACTATCTTAGATTTCCCTACTTATGCGCAAGAATCCTCTGAAGAAAAGCAAGTGGCGGCTTGTGTTCATATGTAGAGCATTGGGGCATCCTCAACACCGTGTCCATTGGTTCTTACAAGCCAATGACGAGGGTCGCCCGGAGGCAGTGGGTCAGCAGTTATGCACTGCCATGAGTCGGTCTCTGCCACCCAGGTTTGCCACTAAAAAGAAAGCTGGTCAAATGGTCGGATTGTGCAGCTTCCTTTTGCAACCATGAAAGCCCGACCCCAGCCAAACCTCTTGACACCAGATTAAGAAGTCCAGCTTAGTATTAGGGGTGAGCTTCCCCCCGAAGTGAGGAGATTGTTCTCTAAACTGGGGCCCGGCTCTTTCACTGTACATTTCAGATCGCATGGTCGGTTTTCCCCGCCGTTGGAATAGCATGACAATGAGTTCACAGCAGCCCTCCATTGAAGGGCGACATCTTGTCCAGGTAACGCAGAGAGCCGAGCACCCCGCCATTGTTGCTCTTGTCCGAGCCTGGCACCGTCACTGGCAAGGCTCACAGCAAAGAAATAAGGGAATCAGTGAAACGAGCGAGTCCTAAAAGGAAGCGAGGCACCCTGGAAGAGCTGATACCCCCAATGAGTCTGGGTCCAAATTGCGGGCCTCCGTAGGGCTGACTCCGAACGAAGATCTGGCACAAGGCGCCCTTGAACTTGGGCTCCTTTGGCTGCTCCATGAGGCCCTTGTAGTCCTTGCGTGTCATCAACACGTGCACCTCCATTTGTTTCATTCTGCAAAGCTTGCCCAAGTCGCACTCACGTTTCCTTGGCCACAACGGAGATCTTGCCGCAGTCAACTGGTCCCGGGCAAGGACCTAAAGAACACCAAGGCACAAAATCACAAGCTCGTGCCACACATACAATCAGACGAGGCAAAATGAGCAAACCAGCCCAACATGGAAGACTAACCCCCATGGAAAATCGCAAACTACTCCTCGATTGCCTTCGCCAAGACCAGGTAAGAAGGGCCAGCCGCGGTATCCCGAACGCTGCGACAAAGATTCGATCGCAAACTCAGGCGGGTGCCAGAGGAGCCGCCTGGCGCTGCAGGCACGGACCAGAAATCGCAGTCCAACTCCCTTTTTGCACGGGCCATCATGGGCCATCACGGGCCATGGGCATTGCACTGCCTTGTGACGAGACAACATGTTTGGCGCAGAAAATGGTCGGACGGGCGCGCCATCCAAAGCGGATTTGATCTTGGTGAGTTGATCTGTGGGAAGCTCCTGGCCGCATGTGGGCAATTGGATGCAGCGTGATAGAGCAAGCAGTAGCATACCCGCAAGCAACATACCCACTTTTCCAAATCCCGCCCAACATAATTTATCAATCCACTTACCAAAACCCATATAAAAATCATAAAATGCTTCAAGTTATTCATTTTAAAGAATAACTTAAACCATTTCAATTATCTTCAACCTCATCTCTTTTTTTTAAAATTATCAATGTGCTTCTTTGTTTTTCATGCCTCGCTTTATGTTTCAATCTAACCTCACAATCACAAACAGAGCACAAATATTTTCATGCCATAGTCTTTATTTATTTCACTTATCTCCTCTTTATGATTATCTCTCCATGTCTGCGAGTAGATTTTCATTTTGTCTCTACACAAATCACAAGTTTTATGATTTTCCGAAAATAACCCAATCTTTCTATTCATTTTGCAATGTGAACAATATTGTTTTTCTCCTTCTTCTATTTCTTTCTGTTGCTTATCCGCGGCGTTTTTCGGTCTCTTTCTTTGGTCTTTCTTTTTCTGCCTTTCACGGCATCTATCACAAGTTTTGAAACTTCCTGAAAATAAATCTCTTGCCTTATAACATCCACAACACGCGCAATATGTCCTTTCCATAATCTCTTACTATAATAAGCAATCTACCCTTTAAATAGTTTTAGACACAAATAATACTTTTGCTCTGGGGTAAGACCCTCATAGAAAAAAAAACACCAAACAACAAACCACACAAAAAACCAAACAACCGACCATACAATAGTTTTTTACAAAACACTCAAACAAAACGAAACAAACGACCGCCTCGCCTCGCCCCGTGCTACGCCTTCATCTTAAACATCAGACCAGAGGCGGGGCACTTTGCCTGATGCACTATAGTAAATCACTACTACACCCTATAGTAGAACACCACTACACCCTATAGTAGAACACCACTACACCCTATAGTAGAACACCACTACACCCTATAGTAGAACACTACTACACCCTATAGTAGAACACTACTACACTAAAATTGGGGGAGGGGAAACTCTCGCCAATTTTTCGTGCCCTGTTTGGCAGTTGGCAAGAGTTTCCGGATATATCTATATAATTTTGGTGTTTTATCTATTTTATAAACTATGGATTTCCCCCTTAAATTTCATTACTTTCAAAATTTTAAATTTCATAATTGTTACTCTTTTGTCGTTGGACGAACCTGCAAATTTCAAGCTTCAACACCAACCCCAAACTCGTTTTCCTTAATCCACCAAACTCACCAAAATTTCACAAATCAAATCAGCAGGTATTTTGTATAAATCTTCTTGCTTGTGCTTTACATAATTCTCGCCCCAATTTTCCTTACGACCGGATGGCATCCGTTGCGCAGTTTCAATATGTTTATTATTAACCACTTTACCACAATCTTTATTACATAATGGTCTGGGTTTCCATCTATCAAGGTTGTTCCACAACCTCGTTCGCTTCCTGTAATTAAATCCATATTTGCAATAGTCAATGGCATTAAACCTTAACCCATTCATACAAGACTGACTTTTCAATAATCCTGTCTGTGGATTTTCAATAACAAAATACGGCCATCCGAAATATTCAATAATCTCTATTGTTTTTAATACAATACTATTAGCATATTCAATGTTTCTTATTCCTGTTGTTTTTGCAATACTGTATTCTGTGCAAGGTGGTGATGCCCAAATGAATGAGAAGTGGTTTCTGTCAAATTGTTTATAATCCCATTCAAGTATATCACAATTAATATCAGCATTTTTTAAATCCAACGATATTACATTAAAACCGAGCGACTTTGCAATAAGTCCAACACTGCCACTACCTGAAAATAACTCTAATAAATTCATATTATTAGAATGATTTAGATATTTATTATATTGTTTCATATTTACCCTCTTCGTTCTTAAACAGTTTATAATATTCCATGGTTTCCTCTTTTGGTTGTTTAATGCGCCCTTTGTTTAACATTTCCACATACATTTTTTGTTTGTCTTCAAAAGACCCTTTCGGACGTCCTAATCCATTCTTTTCAAAGATTTTGTCAATCTTCTCCTTATCGTCTTCGTTATTGCTTTTAGGTTTGTTTATTTGTTCATCAATATTCTTAATAAGTTCAGTTAATGTTTTAATATTCTTACTAATAATTATAATATGTTTCATTAAATCGTTAATTGTAGAATCACCATTTTCTGACATTTCTATATATAAATATTTATATATTTATGTATTTATTTATTTATGTGTTTAACGTGGTGTTAAATATACTCTTTAAATACTAAGTTTTCATCATTTGTTTAACAGTTTCCTGTGTTTCGTTTTCATTATTATCGGATGGTGTTGCTTGCCTACCAAATTGAAAAGTTATATTATGGACATCAGTTTCTAAGTTGATACTGTCTTTAGTTTTATCAATATTCATGTTCTTATCATTTTTACTTATTTTGAAACTTTTTGGAATACATGAACATTTACAATTTCCTTTATTTTGTACTTCTAGTTCATTTTTAAGTTCTAACATCTTTTTGCACATAGGACAAGCAACCTCAATTACTGCTGTTTCTTTAACAATTTCTCCGCTATCTTCATCTGTTGAAGAAACTGTAGTCTCTGTCTTATTCTTTTTGTTTCTCTTTCCTCCCATTTATATTAATATTTACATTTTTATTTTTGATATATTGAATTCCTAACTTAATTATTT